TCTTGTGTGTGAATTTTTATGCAATAAGCATAAATAGTTTCTGACATACGGCGTGACATGCGAAAACCCCCTTTTTTTTTTACAAAAAACTCAATATCTCTAAAATAAAATTTTGAATCAAAACCAAAAAGTATACAGATCTTAAGATTAATATAACTAAGAAGTGTGTAAAATTTTAAACAATAATCATAAATCGTTTTTGAGATATGGCGCGACATGTGAAAACCCCCCTTTTAAAAAAAAAAAAATCAATATCTCAAAAATAAAATTTTGAATCAAAACCAAAAAGTATACAGATCTTTAGATTAATATAACTAAGAAGTGTGTAAAATTTTAAGCAATAATCATAAAGGTTTTTGAGATATGGCGCGACATGTGAAAAACCCCTCCCCCTTTTTTTACAAAATACTCAATAACTCAAAAATAAAATTTTGAATCATCACCAAAAAGTATACAGATCTTAAGGTTAATATAACTAAGAAGTGTGTAAAGTTTTAAGCAATAATCATAAACTGTTTTTGAGATACGACGCGACGTGAAAAACCCCTCCCCCTTTTTTAACAAAATACTCAATATCTCTAAAATAAAATTTTGAATCATCACCAAAAAGTATAAAGATCTTAAGATTAATATAACTAAGAAGTGTGTAAAGTTTTAAGCAATAATCATAAATTGTTTTTGAGATACGGCGCGACATGTGAAAAAAAACACACACCTGTTTTAGTTACTAAGTCCTGTAACTCAAAAAGTTTTAATCTTATTTTCACCCAAAAGTATACAGATCGTTTGACCATCATAAGAAACAACTATGTTAAGTTTCATGAAATTTGGATAAGTCATTCTCAAGTTATGGTGCGACATGTTTACGCTCGACAGACAGACAGACGGACACCGGACATTTGTATACCATAATACGTCCCTTCAAAAATTGACAGGCCTATAAAAAGGGGAACAAATCTGACCCATCTAATTATAGAGGTATCTCATTGACTTCTAATTTGGGAAAATTATGCAATAAAATTATACACACCAGACTTATGAAGTTCATTAACACCAATAATTTGATAAGTGAAAATCAAATTGGCTTCAAAGAAAAAGCTAGAACAGCAAATCACATCTTCTCATTAAAGTCAATTGTTGATAAATATAAGACTAAAAAAAAGAAAGTTTTTGCAGCTTTTATAGATCTACGAAAAGCCTTTGATACTGTCTGGAGGGAGGGTTTATTTTACATCGTACTCCAAAACAGACTTCCAGGCAAGCTTTTTAATGTCATTCAATCAATGTATAATGAAAACAAATGCAGGATTAAATTTTAAAATGGTATTAGCCATGAATTTATATCAAATTGCGGAGTAAAACAAGGGGATGTACTTAGCCCAACTTTGTTTAATATTTATATAGATGGCCTTGTAAATGACCTTGATCATGCAAACACTCAACCAATTGTTATATGAGATGTTAAACTAACATCATTATTATATGCAGATGACATTATTTTATTGTCAGAAACCCAAGAAGGGCTACAAAATGCACTTAATGAGTTAACTAAATTTTGTTCCCTGTGGAAATTTGATGTAAACAAACAAAAATCAAAAATTATAATATTCAATTCTAATGGGAAATCCCATTGTAATTATTTTAAAGTAGAAAACGAGCATCTTGAGACTGTTAAATCTTATTGTTACCTTGGAATAACAATAAATTATTCAGGCAATTTAAGTCATTCGAAAAAAATTCTTATGGAAAAAGGAAGAAAGGCTTGGTTTAAAATTAAAAAAAACAGTTTCTTTATATAATTCTTGCAATATGCTTGAAAAATTATTTGATACTTTACTTGTCCCAATCACTCTTTATGGAAGTGAAGTATGGGGTGTAAGCGAATTGTTCAAAGATTCAGATCCATTTGAACATTTACATATAAAATTTATTAAAGAAATTTTAGGGGTACAGTGCAAAACAACAAATGTAGCTTGTCTAGCTGAGGCAAACAGAACCCTTTTGTACTTCAAAATTCAGCTTTCAGCTATAAAATTTCTAAACCACATTGTGAACTCACCTAATTCTTTAGTCTATAAAATATATAATAATGTAGAGAAAACAAGTAAATGGGTTAACATTGTAAAAGACTGGTTAAATAAATTAGGTTTTGGTCATCTTACGTTTGATACTATTAATTTAAAATACTACATAAATACTATCCAACAAAGAATCTTTGACCAGGCATATCAAATTATGAATTGTTCTATCCATAAATGTGAAAAATTAAATTTCTTTTGTAAGACTAAAAAAATTGGAAAAAGGCCCCCGTATATTGATATATGTAAATTCAAAACTGACAGATCAGTTTTCAGTAAACTTAAACTCAGTGCCCATTCCCTAGCAATTGAAAGGGGGCGTTATACCAACACTGAAAGAAGTAAACGCATTTGCTTATCCTGTAATAGAAATTGAGGATGAATACCATTTCTTCTCAGTCTGTCCATGCTATATATCACTGAGGGACACCTATATACAAAATATTAATAAAAATCTTAATTTCAATTTTATTAAATTGCAGTCAGCTATAACACTGAGGCATATGACCACACTTTTAAATAGCAGTCTGCCAGTCATTATAAAACTCACCATAAAACCTGTTTATTTACTTTTGACTTTAATTATTTATCCCTTGTAATTTTTTATTAACTGTGTATTTGCATTTAGATGTCACAGGTCAAATTTATTCGTTCATTGTGTGTTAATTTAAGTTTTTTGATTGAGTTAAGCCTTCCAATAGATATTTTATAGTGTGTTTTTCTATGTTGTGATGTTATACTATTGTTTCAGAAAAGGGAGAAGGTTTGGTACCATTAAAACGTTTAATCCCGCTGCAAATGTTTGCACCTGTCCTAAGTCAGGAATCTGATTACAGTAGTTGTCTTCTGTTTATGTAGTTCATACGTGTTTCTCGTTTCTCGTTTTTATATAGATTAGACCGTTGGTTTTTCCGTTTGAATGGTTTTACACTAGTAATTTTTTTAGGGCCCTTTATAGCTTGCTGTTCGGTGTGAGCCAATGCTCCGTGTTGAAGGCAGTACCTTGACCTATAATGGTTTACTTTTATAAATTGTAACTTGGATGGAGAGTTGTCTCATTGGCACTCATACCACATCTTCCTATATCTATATAAAGTATATTAATGATTGTTTTTTATTGAGAACATCTGTATAACTTATATTTCTTTTAATATGTATCCTAATTTTTGTTTTTGTTTTTTGTACATGAACATTAATGATGTGTTAACTGTCGATACACACATACTTATGGTCTTTTTTTTTTCCCGTGCGAATACCACTGTCACTCTAATATAATTATAGTCAATTTAACTATTGTCAGTTTATTGTCTCAATACTGTATGCCATAACCATTTAATGTAAATGTGTTTGTGCTAATAAATATTGTCTATATTGTCTATTGTCAATACTGGGAAAACCCAGGTTTTACTGGGTTTTACCGGGTAACACTGGGCAATACTGGGTAATATGAAATACTGGCCTGAATTTTAAAGAGGATTAATCACAATTGCAATACATTAAAGATTTTTATAAAAAAAAAGATATAGTATTTTAATTTATAAGTTCACTTGTTTGAGACTCTTAATATAAAGTGTATAAATCTGAGAAAATAATATTGTCCAGCAACTCTAAGACAAGTGTACATGAAGACACATAAGACAAATGTGAAAGCTTTTCTTAATAAAAAAATTTCTTTAAAAATCTATCTAATCACCATTCTTTCTAGATTGGTCAAAGTGTTGACTTAAAGTTGAAGAATTCAATTTGGTTTTTTTTATTAAATATAACTAATATTAAGATTTAACAATTATATGTAAGGAAAATTACTTTTAAACATTTTTTGTTCATTACTAAAAATGTTCAGTAAGTTTTAGCATATGTTTATGTGCATCACTAATTAATAAGTAATTATTCAGAATATAACACAGATTTGTTTATATAACAATAATCAGCCTTGTGATTTCTATAAGTGTTCATGGCCTGTCCCCTTAGGGTGTTTATTTAGCAATATGATTGTATAACAATTAAAATTTACAATTCACTTAAACACTGCAATAAAATGCACTTTTTCAAAGTTTCAAATTGGGTTATTGAATCAAAGCTTGGAAATTAACAAGGTATCCTGAAATGTGCAAAACTTGTATTCTGCCTACATAGAATTAGTGGAGAAAAGGAAGAAATTGAATTTTCAATCTTCAGGAATGACTTTCTGTATGGTTATCTGTATAAAATGTATATATTTAGCTATAATACTATTAAACTACAACAAGTCTTTACTATTTTGTGTAAAAATAAGCTTGAAAAATCATATTACCCAGTATATCCCAGTATTACCCGTTTCTGGGAGTATTGCCCAGCCCGGGAAAACACGGGCCTGGGTAATACTTTGCCAACCTTGTAATCTTCCCCCAGATTTCAAATTATATTTTGCCCCACCACATTTTTGCGCCTGTCCCAAGTCAGGAACCTCTAGCCTTTGTTAGAGTCTTGTGTGTTTTTTTTTAGTTTTGGTTCACTTGTATGTTTCAGAGTTTAGTGTGGCATCCATTTCACTGAACTAGTATACATTATTGTTTAGGGGCCAGCTGAAGCAGCCTCTGGGTGTGGAATTTTCTCGTTGCGTTGAAGACCCATTGGTGGCCTTGGGACTGTTTTCTGCTATTTCATCAGGTTGTTGCCTCTTTGACACACTCACCGTTTCCATTCTCTATTCTGTTAGTTTAACTGTGAAATTAAAAACATGCAATCTTATAATTGATATATTGACAGTTGATTTTTGAATGCCTGTGTCACTAGATTATCTATGGACCACATATACCTTTGTTTTAACCATTTAAGAAGCCAAAATTGATTGACAATATCTGTTAAAGTAAAAACTATTGAAATTTTAAATGATGAATTGTAAAAACACATTGTTTCAGACTTTAATTCTTTTTTTTTCAGAATGATCAAGAAAAGCTAGCTGATTTTGTTAATTGTTTCCAGGAAACCTACAAACATTTAGTTGATTTAGAATTAACACATCTGAATGATGGGTAAGAAGTGATAGAAGTCAATTATTATATTGTATAACTGTAATATTCAACCATGGGGAGGACATGCCTTAATCTCCAGAGAAAGGCAATTACCTGTGGAATGGTCTATTTTATGTATTTAACTCTGGGACTCTTGCAATGCTTCTGTATGCATCTTGGAAGCATATTTGTCATTTTGAACAAACTACATTGTTGTCATTCCCATCCTTATTGGTGTTCCTACTGTCTGTATCACCTTGCTCAGCTCTTCATAAAATTGCACATCAAGCTTTGTGACGTCAAATAAGTTAACCTGGTCTAAATAACTTTGACCCGGACATATCACCAACGTCATAATGAATGAACTGACGTTGAAAAGTTTTACCCGAAATTATCCAGTCATCTTCAGTTTGCTGGTGAAACAAAGATAAATGCTTGTTTCTATCATGCAAAATACGAAAATACAAAAATACAATCTAATAAATTGATTATCCAATTTTCAACATACAATGTATTTATGTTGTGAAATATCAGCTGCTTGACACAATATGAATCCTTTTTTAACTTGTTCCCTGCACTCACTCGACAAAAAGCTTCAGCAATTATACATTCATAAATAAATAAAACTATAAATTATAGATACATGTATTTCAGATTGATTAAATCTTCATTTAAGTTACCTATATTTTCAGGTCAATTAAACCTACTTTCTTTCAGCTTTGTATGCATCAGCATTTTAGAATCTACTACATAGAATAATATAAAGTGTTTTTATGCCCCCACCTTAGCGGAGGAAGGGCATTAAGTGTTACCCTTGTCCGTCCGTCCCATACGTCCCGAAAATTGGTTTCCGTTCTCTAACTTTAGTTTGTCTAAACCAAATGTTATAAAACTTATATACAATGCTTATTACCACAAAACACAGATCAAGTTCGAAATTTGGTGACATCACTTTTACTGCTAAATCTGTTGTTTCCGTACTCTAACTTTAGTTTGCCTCAACCAAATGTTATGAAAATTATGCTTATAATCACAAAACAGTCTTTACTACGTGAATCATGCATCTGTATGTAGACGTTGATTCATGCATATTTACAAGTGGGGGCATCTGTGGCCTAAAGACACATTCTCCATTTATTTTAAGATTGGAACTATTATTTTCTAATTGTTTTACATACACTAAAACATTGTGTTCATACCACATGTAAAGCTCTTAATCACCTCAAGTCTACATACACTCAAACATTGTGTTCATACCACGTGTCAAGCTCTAAATCACCACAAGTCTACATACACTAAAACATTGTGTTCATACCACATGTCAAGCTCTAAATCACCACAAGTCTGCATTCACTAAAACATTGTGTTCATACCACATGTCAAGCTCTTAATCACCACAAGTCTACATTCACTAAAACATTGTGTTCATATCACATGTCAAGCTCTAAATCACCACAAGTCTACATTCACTAAAACATTGTGTTCATATCACATGTCAAGCTCTAAATCACCACAAGTCTACATTCACTAAAACATTGTGATCATAACAGCTGGATCATACTACATGTCAAGCTCTAAATCACCACAATTCTACATTCACTTAAACATTGTGTTCATACCACATGTCAAGCTCTAAATCACCACAAGTCTACATTCACTAAAACATTGTGTTCATACCACATGTCAGGCTCTAAATCACCACAAGTCTACATACACTAAAACATTGTGTTCATACTAAATGTCAAGCTCTAAATCACCACAAGGCTACATTCACTAAAACATTGTATTCATATCACATGTCAAGCTCTAAATCACCACAAGTCTACATACACTTAAACATTGTGATCATACTACATGTCAAGCTCTAAATCACCACAAGTCTACATCCACTTAAACATTGTGTTTATACCACACATCAAGCTCTAAATCCCCACAAGTCTACATTCACTAAAACATTGTGTTCATACCACATGTCAAGCTCTTAATCACCTCATGTCTACATTCACTAAAACATTGTGTTCATACCACAGGTCAAGCTCTAAATCACCACAAGTCTACATTCACTAAAACATTGTGTTTATACCACACATCAAGCTCTAAATCCCCACAAGTCTACATTCACTAAAACATTGTGTTCATACCACATGTCAAGCTCTTAATCACCTCAAGTCTACATTCACTAAAACATTGTGTTCATACCACAGGTCAAGCTCTAAATCACCACAAGTCTACATACACTAATGCATTGTGTTTATATTACATGTCAAGCTTTAAATGTCCACGTCTACATTCACTAAAACATTGTGATCATACCACATGTCAAGCTCTTAATCACCACAAGTCTACATTCACTAAAAATTGTGTTCATATCACATGTCAAGCCCTAAATCACCACAAGTCTACATTCACTAAAACATTGTGTTCATACCACATGTCAAGCTCTAAATCACCACAAGTCTACATTCACTAAAACATTGTGTTCATACCACATGTCAAGCTCTAAATCACCACAAGTCTACATTCACTAAAACATTGTGTTCATATCACATGTCAAGCTCTAAATCACCACAAGTCTACATTCACTAAAACATTGTGATCATAACAGCTGGATCATACTACATGTCAAGCTCTAAATCACCACAATTCTACATTCACTTAAACATTGTGTTCATACCACATGTCAAGCTCTAAATCACCACAAGTCTACATTCACTAAAACATTGTGTTCATACCACATGTCAGGCTCTAAATCACCACAAGTCTACATACATTAAAACATTGTGTTCATACAAAATGTCAAGCTCTAAATCACCACAAGGCTACATTCACTAAAACATTGTATTCATATCACATGACAAGCTCTAAATCACCACAAGTCTACATACACTAAAACATTGTGATCATACTACATGTCAAGCTCTAAATCACCACAAGTCTACATCCACTAAAACATTGTGTTTATACCACACATCAAGCTCTAAATCCCCACAAGTCTACATTCACTAAAACATTGTGTTCATACCACATGTCAAGCTCTTAATCACCTCAAGTCTACATTCACTAAAACATTGTGTTCATACCACAGGTCAAGCTCTAAATCACCACAAGTCTACATTCACTAAAACATTGTGTTCATACCACATGTCAAGCTCCAAATCACCACAAGTCTACATTCACCAAAACATTGTGTTCATACCACATATCAAGCTCTAAATCACAACAAGTTTACATTCACTAAAACATTGTGTTCATATCACATGTCAAGCTCTAAATCAACACAAGTCTACATTCACTAAAACATTGTGATCATACTACATGTCAAGCTCTAAATCGCCACAAGTCTACATTCACTAAAACATTGTGTTCATATCACATGTCAAGCTCTAAATCCCTACAAGTCTACATTCACTAAAACATTGTGTTCATACAACATGTCAAGCTCTAAATCCCTACAAGTCTACATACACTAAAACATTGTGTTCATACCACATGTCAAGCTCTTAATCACCACAAGTCTACATTCACTAAAACATTGTGTTCATATCACATGTCAAGCTCTAAATCACCACAAGTCTACATTCACTAAAACATTGTGTTCATACCATATGTCAAGCTCTAAAGCACCACAAGTCTACATTAACTAAAACATTGTGTTCATATCACATGTCAAGCTCTAAATCACCACAAGTCTACATTCACTAAAACATTGTGTTCATATCACATGTCAGGCTCTAAATCACCACAAGTCTACATTCACTAAAACATTGTGTTCATATCACATGTCAAGCTCTAAATCACCACAAGTCTACATTCACTAAAACATTGTGATCATACCAGCTGGATCATACTACATGTCATGCTCTAAATCACCACAATTCTACATTCACTAAAACATTGTGTTCATACCACATGTCAAGCTCTAAATCACCACAATCTACATACACTAAAACATTGTGTTCATACTAAATGTCAGGCTCTAAATCACCACAAGTCTACATTCACTAAAACATTGTATTCATATCACATGTCAAGCTCTAAATCACCACAAGTCTACATACACTAAAACATTGTGATCATACTACATGTCAAGCTCTAAATGCCCACAAGTCTACATCCACTAAAACATTGTGTATATACCACACGTCAAGCTCTAAATCACCACAAGTCTACATTCACTAAAACATTGTGTTTATACCACACATCAAGCTCTAAATCCCCACAAGTCTTCATTCACTTAAACATTGTGTTCATACCACATGTCAAGCTCTAAATCACCACAAGTCTACATTCACTAAAACATTGTGTTCATACCACATGTCAAGCTCTAAATCACCACAAGTCTACATTCACTAAAACATTGTGTTCATATCACATGTCAAGCTCTAAATCACCACAAGTCTACATTCACTAAAACATTATGATTATACTACATGTCAAGCTCTAAATCACCACAAGTCTACATTCACTTAAACATTGTGTTCATACCACATGTCAAGCTCTAAATCACCACAAGTCTACATTCACCAAAACATTGTGTTCATACCACATGTCAAGCTCTAAATCACCACAAGTCTACATACACTAAAACATTGTATTCATACTAAATGTCAAGCTCTAAATCACCACAAGTCTACATTCACTAAAACATTGTGTTCATATCACACGTCAAGCTCTAAATCACCACAAGTCTACATTCACTAAAACATTGTGTTCATACTAAAGGTCAAGCTCTTAATCACCACAAGTCTAGACACATTGTGGATGATACTGACTACAGGAAATCAGGCCTATTTATTGTGTAGGTACTGCCTGTCTTTTGAAACTCAGAAAAATAACTATACATGTATTTTACTTTTGTTTACTTGTTTTATAGGTATTCAGAGGAAGGACCACATTTTACAGTGTTACCAGATGGTGTGTTACAGGTGTTCAGTACCCAGTTGTCTCTGTGTAGTGAATTAATTGCTCAGTCATGTGATCTGGATACTCTTCATTTTGCCAGTTCTATAATAGAATGTCTCATTATTATTACAAGGTAAAAATGGATGATGATGATTATGGATGGCTGTTTTATGTTCAGCAGCAAATTTAATGCATATTCAGAACTAATACATGCAAATGGGATATGGGGCATACCTGTTTGTTGTGATGTGAATTTTTCAAAATATGTGGCAAATTAGGGTTTTCACCCAGATTTTGCAATTCACTGATAAGGTTAAAGTTTTGTTTTATGTAAAGTTAAGTTTTATGATATCCATTGAGAAAAATGTTGTGGGCAAAACTTTTAAGTGCTTTGGAAAAAGGGTATTAAAACGAAAATATGTTTTAGCTCACAAGGCCCAAAGTGCTAATGCAAGCTTCTGCTATCACTTGTCGTTCAATAACTGTCATCCATTCCTTGTCATAGTCAGTTGTCCATTATTAAACTTTTACAAAAATCTTCTCCTCTGAAACTACTGGGCTAAATTGAACCAAACTTGACCATAATCATCCTTTGGGTATCAAGTTTTAAAAATGTGTCAAATGATTCTGCCAGCCAACCAACAACTTAAGTTTGCCTCAACCAAATGTTATGAAACTTATACACAATACTTATTACCACAAAACTCAGATCAAGTACAAATTTGGGTTATGTCACTTTTACCGTTCTTCAGTTATGCTCCTTTATAACTTTATATGATATGCAAGCAGGGGCATCATCTGTGTCCCATGGACACATTCCCCATTTATTTGGAAAAATAAATTAAATCCTTTTGATATGAGAGCAAATCGATACAAAACTAAAGGAAAGTAATGCATATTTTTATCCATATGAGGAATTAAAAACAGAAAAGATTAAAAAAGAAAATAGTAAATGGTTATTTTCTCCAAAATTTTTGGAAAATGAAGAAATTTTGAAAGACCCTAATCAGTATTAAAATTAGTTGCCACTTTCAGAAAGTAAAGAATTTACAGAAATTTTATAGAGAAATCTGAGAAATAAGGTAAAGAACAAAAAGATTTATTACAATGATACAGATATGATTTCCTAATTATGACACCCAACACCATGAGGGAATATTAAGAAAATTATATTAGTTGATATTTCAGAGAAAATATTGAGAGAAAATTAATTTTGAGTGGCATTTCATTTGGTGTCCAAAATACATTATTTTCTAAATTGTTACCTTTTGATCCTGTTTGGGTCAATTGAACTTAATTGAATTGATGACCAAATTATACCATTGACCACTGATACAGTGTCAGATATAATTAGTTGATAGTTGTCTATTGTGTACCAGTAACTTGTTGAAATGTATATTTGTATCTTTGACCATTCATATTGTTTCAACATTACTAGTGCAAAGTTGACTCTTCCCATAATTTTTAAAGGTGGGAAGCATTCACTTATGTTTGTGATTGCCTTTGTCTATGATTGTATTAACTTTCAAGAATCAAAAAGACTCTTAATAGATGCCCTCTTTTTAGAAAGGGGTGGAAAGTTCTGGGAGGGAAGCTCTCAATTTATAATTTACATGACTCAGAAATATTTAAGAAATGTGCATCAGTTTGGAGGGTTCTTATGCATTTATGAAAGTTATAAATGTTTAACTTTAAAGTGGACAATTCAACCAAATGCATTCCTGTTTTACTACGCTTAAAAAGGTTATTTTTGATGTTTATTATAGCAGGTATGAAGCAAAGTGATACATGCTACTTGTGTTTCTGGTTATTTTCATAAATGTCTATACTGTATGTTTTCAGGAACTATGACAACGTCCCGCTGGTAGCTTCATGTGAATTTGTAAAGTATATTGTATCTATAGCCACTACAGTAATCTCCAAGGTATGTTGTAAAGTATATTGTATCTATAGCCAGTACAGTAATCTCCAAGGTATGTTGTAAAGTACAGGTATATATATGCAGAAAATAACAAAAATACATAATTTTAACACATACGTTTGTGAGTTAGATTTATCAATATTGCATGAGTATATACCAAATATGTATTTACATGAAATATGATGTTCATATAGACAAAACACCTATCATAAATTATTTAGTTGGTAGTCACATGTATTTTGACACATACGTTTGTGAGTAAAATTTATCAGTTGGATGAATATATACCAAATACGTATGTTCATATAGACAAAACACCTATCATAAATTACTAAGTTGGTAGTCAACGTTAAAATACACAGGATGTAAATCTAAAATTAAAATTTCAAATTTCTGTTGTAATGTACGCCAAATAAGGCATTTTACAGTGGGAAAACCGATGACACAAGAACAATAGAAAAATGACTCTTCTTATACATGTATAAAAGGTGGCAAAATCAATGGATTGTTTCTGCCGGTAACCACACTGATTATAAGTTATTTCTAAACAATGATTGTTTATTTTGAAACAATATCTTTTGAAATTTACTTCAATTGATTTTACATTCATAGTTAGTTGTTATTCTAAATGTCTTCATATTAATTATACCCCACGCAACGGGTTGCGGAGGGTATAATGTTTTTGACCCGTCCGTCCGTCAGTCCGTCCGTCAGTCCGTCCGTCTGTCCGTCCGTCCGTCAGTCCTGTTTCTTGTCATCGCAACTCCTCTCAAACCACCCAACAGAATTTCATGAAACCTTTTTAGATAATAAGGACATACTATGTAGTTGTGCATATCGACAGGAAATTGCGATTCAATTTTTTTTCTAGGAGTTACGCCCCTTTGAACCTATTTACTTTAATGTACTACTGCAACAGTTTGTCATCGCAACTCCTCTCAAACCACACAACAGAATTTCATGAAACCTTGTCAGATAATAAGGACATACTACGTAGATGTGCATATCGACAGGAAATTACGATTCAATTTTTTTTATAGGAGTTACGCCCCTTTGAACTTATTTGCCCAATATACTACTGCAACCTTTTGTCATCGCAACTCCTCTCAAACCACACAACAGAATTTCATGAAACCTTTTCAGAAAATAAGGACATACTACGTAGATGTGCATATATCGACAGGAAATTACGATTCAATTTTTGTCGAGCCTGCGACTTTTGTCGCAGAAAGCTCGACATAGGGATAGTGATCCGGCGGCGGCGGCGGCGGCGTTAGCTAACTTCTTAAAAGCTTTATATTTTAGAGGGTGGAAGACCTGGATGCTTCATACTTTGTATATGGATGCCTCATGTTATATGGATGTCCTTGACCTCATTTTCATGGTTCAGTGACTACTTGAAAAAAAAGTTCAGTTTTTTTGTAATGTTAAATTCTCTCTTATTATAAGTAATAGGATAACTATATTTGGTATGTGCGTACCTTGCAAGGTCCTCATGCCCGTCAGACAGTTTTCACTTGACCTCGACCTCATTTCATGGATCAGTGAACAAGGTTAAGTTTTGGTGGTCAAGTCCATATCTCAGATACTATAAGCAATAGGTCTAGTATATTCGGTGTATGGAAGGACTGTAAGGTGTACATGTCCAACTGGCAGGTGTCATCTGATCTTGACCTCATTTTCATGGTTCAGTGGTTATAGTTGAGTTTTTGTGTTTTGGTCTGTTTTTCTTATACTGTATGCAATAGGTCTACTATATTTGGTGTATGGAAGGATTGTAAGGTGTACATGTCTAGCTGGCAGGTGTCATCTGACCTTGACCTCATTTTCATGGTTCAGTGGTTATAGTTGAGTTTTTGTGTTTTGGTCTGTTTTTCTTATACTGTATGCAATAGGTCTACTATATTTGTTGTATGGAAGGATTGTAAGGTGTACATGTCTAGCTGGCAGGTGTCATCTGACCTTGACCTCATTTTCATGGTTCAGTGGTTATAGTTGAGTTTTTGTGTTTTGGTCTGTTTTTCTTATACTGTATGCAATAGGTCTACTATATTTGGTGTATGGAAGGATTGTAAGGTGTACATGTCTAGCTGGCAGGTGTCATCTGACCTTGACCTCATTTTCATGGTTCAGTGGTTATAGTTGAGTTTTTGTGTTTTGGTCTGTTTTTCTTATACTGTATGCAATAGGTCTACTATATTTGGTGTATGGAAGGATTGTAAGGTGTACATGTCTAGCTGTCAAGTGTCATCTGACCTTGACCTCATTTTCATGGTTCAGTGGTTATAGTTGAGTTTTTGTGTTTTGGTCTGTTTTTCTTATACTGTATGCAATAGGTCTACAATATTTGGTGTATGGAAGGATTGTAAGGTGTACATGTCTAGCTGGCAGGTGTCATCTGACCTTGACCTCATTTTCATGGTTCAGTGGTTATAGTTGAGTTTTTGTGTTTTGGTCTGTTTTTCTCATACTGTATGCAATAGGTCAACAATATTTGGTGTATGGAATGATTGTAAGGTGTACATGTCTAGCTGGCAGGTGTCATCTGACCTTGACCTCATTTTCATGGTTCAGTGGTCAAAGTTAAGTTTTTGAGTTTTGGTCTTTTTTTCTAATACTGCATGCAATAGGTCTACTATATTTGGTGTATGGAATGATTGTAAGGTGTACATGTCTAGCTGGCAGGTGTCATTTGACCTTGACCTCATTTTCATGGTTCAGTGGTCAAAGTTAAGCTTTTGAGATTTGATCTTTTTTTCTAATACTATATGCAATAGTTCAACTACATTTGGTGTATGGAAATATTTTATGATCTATATGTCAGTCACACAGGTTTTATTTGACCTTGACCTCATTTTCAAGGTTCATTGCTCAGTGTTAAGTTTTTGTGTTTTGGACTGTTTTTCTTAAACTATAAGCAATAGGTCAACCATATTTGTTGTATGGAAGAATTGTTAGCTGTACATGCCTGCCCAGCATGGTTCATCTGACCTTGACCTCATTTTCATGGTTCATTGGTCAATGTTTAGTTTACTTGGTTAATGTTAAGTTTATGTGACAGTTGTAATAAAGCTTTATATTTAGGACTATCAACATAATATCAATGATTAGTAAAGAAGGCGAGACATTTCAGCGTGTGCACTCTTGTTTTTCCAGGAGTTACGCCCCTTTGAACTTATTTGCCCAATATACTACTGCAACCTTTTGTCATCGCAACTCCTCTCAAACCACACAACAGAATTTCATGAAACTGTGTAGATAATAAGGACATACTATATAGATGTGCATATTGACAGGAAATTATGATTCAATTTTTTTTTCTGATACAATTTCTTTTTCTTACACTTATTTTATTTCTCCAATGACAATGTGGGGACGTGGGGTATGTGAGCGTGCTCACTAAGGTTCTTTCATTTGCAAATGATTTCAAAAAAATATATGCATACCATTTGAACACTTCAGTAAATTGAAACAGACACTTTTTCAAATGTTTCAGTGGTCAAATTTCCAATGTGATAAATATTTCAAACAGAGGTCATACAGACAGATAATCTGAAGATAATTGGTTGTAAATTTGTATGTTAAATGGGAAATGAACCATAATAATTCCGAATGAAGGAGTGAATGGATTAACTGCCTATGATTCCTTTCCTGAAGTACAGCTTCATCTTGGGCAAAGATTTAACAAAATAACAGTTATTTATTACATTTACCCTAATATGGTTAGAGATGTATGTGTCTGACATAAAAACTTTGATGGTGTGTCCCCCCTCAGTAAAATTATCTTGTTAATTGCAACCCCCCAAGTGAAGTGATTGCCCCCTAACAAATAATGAATAAGTAAATGAAAAAAGGGCTCCTACACCCTCAGCTAATATATGATGTCTTTTACCTAAAGAGTGAAAAGGGGAAACAAAATTATCAAATATACCAAAGTTAAGTTTAAAATTGACAATTGGGTGGTGTCACTTTTATCGGTCTAGAGCTATGCCCCTTTACATATGGAAAAATTGCTTAAGTTTGCCTCAACCGATTGTTAGGAAACTTATACACAATGCTTATTACCACAAAACTCAGATTCAGTTTGAATTTGGGTGGTGTCACTTTTACCGTTCTCGAGTTATGCCCCTTTATAACGTTATATGCAAGCGGGACATCATCTGTGTCCCATGGACACATTCTCCTTTTATTTGTTATTGCAATGACAATATATATAACCTGACCAATTACATTAGGCAATTCCAGAAACGTATGTCATATGCACAGAAATCAGTATTGTTCATTTATATAAGTTGAGATTTAATAATGATAAGAAGACATTGAAAAAACGTTTATGATTGAATTTATTTATAAAACATAAACATTGTTTAAGACGTGCCATGATATATATCATTATGATGATCATAAAATTGAGAATGGAAATGGGGAATGCGTCAAAGAGACAACAACCCGACCATAGAACAGACAACAGCAGAAGGTCACCAACAGGTCTTCAATGCAGCGAGAAATTCCCGCACCAGGAGGCGTCCTTCAGCTGGCCCCTAAACAAATATATATACTAGTTCAGTGATAATGAACGCCATACTAAACTCCAAATTGTACACAAGAAACTAAAATTAAAAATAATACAAGACTAACAAAGGCTAGAGGCTCCTGACTTGGGACAGGCGCAAAAATGCCATGGGGTTAAACATGTTTATGAGATCTCAACCCTCCCCCTATACCTCTAGCCAATGTAGAAAAGTAAACGCATAACAATACGCACATTAAAATTCAGTTCAAGAGAAGTCCGAGTCTGATGTCAGAAGATGTAACCAAAGAAAATAAACAAAATGACAATAATACATAAATAACAACAGACTACTAGCAGTTAACTGACATGCCAGCTCCAGACTTCAATTAAACTGATTGAAAGATTATGTCTTCATCATATGAATATCAGGCACAATCCTTCCCGTTAGGGGTTTAGTATCATACCATCATAACATATATGAGAAGAACATAACCCGTGTCATGCCAACAACTTGTTTTTAAATAAATGTGTTTAGTGCCGATGCAAAGACCCTATAAGTGAATCAATATTAACGCCAAAATATGCAATCTTTAATGACCTGACAACAGTATCGTAACTATATCCCTTCTTAATAAGTCTATTTAAAGGTTTTGTTAGCTTCAGAGGTAAATACTGACATTTTTGTGCTTTATAAAGAATATTTCCATAAAAAATTGGATGTGAAATACCTGAACGTATAAGAAGTCTGCATGTTGAGCTATATTTATGAATGATGTCCTTATACCGATGATAAAATTTAGTAAATGTTTTGACTAGTTTGTGATATCGAAAACCCTGGTGTAATAATTTTTCAGTAATACATAAATTTCTCTCGTTAAAATCTAAAACATTGTTACATACACGAGCGAATCGTACAAGTTGAGATATATAAACACCGTAAGATGGTGACAAGGGAACGTCACCATCTAAAAATGTATGTGTATAGATTATACTCGTTTTTTATACGACAGCAAAAAAATTTTGTGGTCGTATATTGGTATGACGTCGTCGTCGTCGTCGTCGTCGTCGTCGTCGTCGTCGTCCGGCGTCGTCGTCGTCGTCGTCGTCGTCCGGCGTCGTCGTCGTCCGGCGTCGTCGTCCGAATACATATTGGTTTTCGCACTCTAACTTTAGTTTAAGTGAATGGATCTTTTTGAAATTTGATCATAAGGTTAAATACCACAAAAGGAAGGTTGGGATTGATTTTGGGGGTTATGGTACCAACAGTTAAGGAATTAGGGGCCAAAAAGGGGCCAAAAATGAGCATTTTCTAGTTTCCAGACAATAACTGTGGAACGGTGTATGGATCTCTCTGAAATTATACTACAAGTTTCCATACCACAAAGGGATGGTTAGGATTTGCTTTGGGGGGTTATGGCTCAAACTGTTTAGGAATTAGGGGCAAAAAAGGGGGAAAAACAAGGTTGTCCTGGTTAATGGACAAATACTTTAGTACAAAACATAATTTAAAGCAGTGTAAGGGAGATAAATCAAATACATCATTGAAATTATCTCCCTTACACTGCTTTTAAATTATGTATAAAGTAATGGTTAATGAACAATAAAGATAATCTAAAACAGTGTAAGGGAGGTAATCCAAATACAACGTTTTGGTTACTTCCCTTACACTGCTTTTAAATTATGTTTAAAGAAATGCATATTTATAAAGGAAGACCAGTAAAAATATCTGCAAATGTTTTCATCTTTTTTTTTTACAAAAAAATCCATATGAAAGATTTGACACTATATTTTTTATTAATTCTATTATAAAATAGATTAAGTTAGCACTATGGTAAATTTAAATGGGTAATTATGGTTGCCAACTCCATTGGAAATTTGAATTGAGATTATGACCATATCTTGAGGGAAAGAATTTTTTTGGGGGAAAAAGGGGGGGGGGATAAAAAGAAATTGTGGGGGGCCAATTTTTTCTCATTTCAGATTTCAGAAATTAAAAAGAATTATTCTTCAAATATTATTTTTTTTTCAAATTTCAAATATTGAAAAATTTCAAGAAGTAATCTTTAATTGCACAGTATGGCGCATTAGATTTGTAAAATCTTTGATCACATTTATTTATTTGTTATGCCGAATCTAACAGTGTATTTAGATTTTTAATTTTGGGTCCAGTTTTCAAATTGGTCTACATTAATGTCCAAAGGGTCCAAAATTAAACTTTGTTTGATTTTAGCAAAAATTGAATATATGAGGTTCTTTGATATGCTGAATCTAAACATGTATTTAGATTTTTGATTTTTGGCCCAGTTTTCAAGTTGGTCCAAATTGGGGTCCAAAATTAAACTTTGTTTGATTTCAACAAAAATTGAATATATGGGGTTCTTTGATATGCTGAATCTAACCATGTCTTTAGATTTTTTATTTGTGGACCCCGTTATCTAATTGGTTCATATTGAGGTCAAAAGGGTCCAAAATTAAACTTTGTTTGATTTCATCTAAAATTGAATTATTGGGGTTCTTTGATATTCCAAATCTAACCGTGTATTTAGGTTTTTAATTTTGGGTCCTGTTTTTTAAATTGGTCTACATTGAGGTCCAAAGGGTCCAAAGGGTCCAAAATTAAACTTAGTTTGATTTTAACAAAAATTGAATTCTTGGGGTTCTTTGATTTGCTGAATCTAAACATGTGTTTAGATTTTTGATTATGGGCCCAGTTTTCAAGTTGGTCCAAGATAGGGTCCAGTATTTAAACTTTGTTTGATTTCAACAAAAATTGAATATATGGGGTTCTTTGATATGCTGAATCTAAACATGTATTTAGATTTTTGATTATGGGCCCAGTTTTCAAGTTGGTCCAAATTGGGGTCCAAAATTAAACTTTGTTTGATTTCAACAAAAATTGAATATATGAGGTTCTTTGATATGCTGAATCTAACCATGTATTTAGATTTTTTATTTGCAGGCCCCGCTATCAAATTGGTTCATATTGAGGTCAAAAGGGTCCAAAATTAAACTTTGTTTGATTTCATCGAAAATTGAATTATTGGGGTTCTTTGATATGCCAAATCTAACCGTGTTTTTAGATTTTTAATTTGGGTCCCGTTTTTTAAATTGGTCTTCATTGAGGTCCAAAGGGTCCAAAATTAAACTTAGTTTGATTTTAACAAAAATTGAATTCTTGGGGTTCTTTGATATGCTGAATCTAAACATGTGTTTAGATTTTTGATTATGGGCCCAGTTTTCAAGTTGGTCCAAATTGGGGTCCAAAATTAAACTTTTTTTGATTTCAACAAAAATTGAATATATGGGGTTCTTTGATATGCTGAATCTAACCATGAATTTAGAATTTTTATTTGTGGGCCCCGCTATCAAATTGGTTCATATTGAGGTCAAAAGGGTCCAAAATTAAACTTTGTTTGATTACATCAAAAATTGAATATATGGGGTTCTTTGATATGCTGAATCTAAACATGTATTTAGATTTTTCTTTGATATTCCAAATCTAACCGTGTATTTAGATTTTTAATTTTAAGTCCCGTTTTTATACGACCGCAAAAAAATTTTTGTGGTCGTATATTGGTATGACGTCAGCGTCGTCGTCGTCGTCGTCGTCGTCCGGCGTCGTCGTCCGAATACACATTGGTTTTCGCACTCTAACTTTAGTTTAAGTGAATGGATCTTTTTGAAATTTTACCATAAGGTTAAATACCACAAAAGAAAGGTTGGGATTGGTTTTGGGGGTTATGGTACCAACAATTAAGGAATTAGGGGCCAAAAAGGGGCCAAAAATAAGCATTTTCTAGTTTCCAGACAATAACTGTGGAACAGTGTATGGATCTCTCTGAAATTATACTACAAGTTTCCATACCACAAAGGGATGGTTAGGATTTGCTTTGGGGGGTTATGGCTCAAACCGTTTAGGAATTAGGGGCAAAAAAGGGGGAAAAACAAGGTTGTCCTGGTTAATGGACAAATACTTTAGTACGAAACATAATTTAAAGCAGTGTAAGGGAGATAAATCAAATACATCATTGAAATTATCTCCCTTACACTGCTTTTAAATTATGTATAAAGTAATGGTTAATGAACAATAAAGATAATTTAAAACAGTGTAAGGGAGGTAATCCAAATACAACGTTTTGGTTACTTCCCTTACACTGCTTTTAAATTATGTTTAAAGAAATGCATATTTATAAAGGAAGACCAGTAAAAATATCTGCAAATGTTGCATCATTTTATTTTACAAAAAAATCTATATGAAAGATTTGACACTATATTTTTAATTCTATTATAAAATAGATTAAGTAAGCACTATGGTAAAATTAAATGGGTAATTATGGTTGCCAACTCCATTGGAAATTTGAATTGAGATTATGACCATATCTTGAGGGAAAGAATTTTTTGGGGGAAAAAAGGGGGGGGGGGGGGGGTGATAAAAAGAAATTGTGGGGGGTCAATTTTTTCTCATTTCAGATTTCAGAAATTAAAAAGAATTATTCTTCAAATATTATTTTTTTTTCAAATTTCAAATATTGAAAAATTTCAAGAAGTAATCTTTAATTGCACAGTATGGCGCATTAGATTTGTAAAATCTTTGATCACATTTATTATTTGTTATGCCGAATGTAACAGTGTATTTAGATTTTTATTTTGGGTCCAGTTTTCAAAATAGTCTACATTAAGGTCCAAAGGGTCCAAAATTAAACTTTGTTTGATTTCAACAAAAATTGAATATATGAGGTTCTTTGATATGCTGAATCTAAACATGTATTTAGATTTTTGATTTTTGGCCCAGTTTTCAAGTTGGTCCAAATTGGGGTCCAAAATTAAACTTTGTTTGATTTCAACAAAAATTGAATATATGGGGTTCTTTGATATGCTGAATCTAACCATGTATTTAGATTTTTTATTTGTGGACCCCGTTATCAAATTGGTTCATATTGAGGTCAAAAGGGTCCAAAATTAAACTTTGTTTGATTTCATCTAAAATTGAATTATTGGGGCTCTTTGATATTCCAAATCTAACCTTGTATTTAGATTTTTAATTTTGGGTCCTGTTTTTTAAATTGGTCTACATTAAGGTCCAAAGGGTCCAAAATTAAACTTAGTTTGATTTTAACAAAAATTGAATTCTTGGGGTTCTTTGATATGCTGAATCTAAACATGTATTTAGATTTTTGATTATGGGCCCAGTTTTCAAGTTGGTCCAAGATAGGGTCCAGTATTTAAACTTTGTTTGATTTCAACAAAAATTGAATATATGGGGTTCTTTGATATGCTGAATCTAAACATGTATTTAGATTTTTGATTATGGGCCCAGTTTTCAAGTTGGTCCAAATTGGGGTCCAAAATTAAACTTTGTTTGATTTCAACAAAAATTGAATATATGAGGTTCTTTGATATGCTGAATCTAACCATGCATTTAGATTTTTTATTTGTAGGCCCTGCTATCAAATTTGTTCATATTGAGGTCAAAAGGGTCCAAAATTAAACTTTGTTTGATTACATCAAAAATTGAATTATTGGGGTTCTTTGATATGCCAAATCTAACCGTGTTTTTAGATGTTTAATTTGGGTCCCGTTTTTTAAATTGGTCTTCATTGAGGTCCAAAGGGTCCAAAATTAAACTTAGTTTGATTTTAACAAAAATTGAATTCTTGGGGTTCTTTGATATGCTGAATCTAAACATGTGTTTAGATATTTGATTATAGGCCCAGTTTTCAAGTTGGTCCAAGTTGGGGTCCAAAATTAAACTTTTTTTGATTTCAACAAAAATTGAATATATGGGGTTCTTTGATATGCTGAATCTAACCATGAATTTAGATTTTTTATTTGTGGGCCCCGCTATCAAATTGGTTCATATTGAGGTCAAAAGGGTCCAAAATTAAACTTTGTTTGATTTCATCAAAAATTGAATTATTGGGGTTCTTTGATATTCCAAATCTAACCATGTATTTAGATTTTTAATTTTAAGTCCTGTTTTTTAAATTGGTCTACATTAAGGTCTAAAGGGTCCAAAATTAAACTTAGTTTGATTTTAGCAAAAATTGATTTCTTGGGGTTCTTTGATATGCTGAATCTAAACATATGTTTAGATTTTTGATTATGGGCCCAGTTTTCAAGTTTGTCCAAGTTGGGGTCCAAAATTAAACTTTGTTTGATTTTAACAAAAATTGAATATATGGGGTTCTTTGATATGCTGAATCTAACCATGTATTTTGATTTTGGACATTGGACCATAATAGGTAAATTAAAAAAATTCAAGTTCTTAGACCACATTCTTTCTGTGTCAGAAACCTATGCTGTGTCAAATATTTAATAACAATCCAAATTCAGAGCTGTATCAAGCTTGAATGTTGTGTCCATACTTGCCCCAACTGTTCAGGGTTCGACCTCTGCGGTCGTATCAAGCTGCGCCCCAGCGAAGCATTTTATTTCACATTGTTTATTGCATTTTAGATTAAAGACAATTCCTGTGATATTGATGACATCTGCATGTTTGTCAAGCTGGTCATTCACTTTTTTGAGTGTCTGTATGATCCTTACTTTATTTGGAGGAAAAGAATTAAAGGGTAAATAATTAAGTTTATGAACAATTGTCTCTTAATGAAAAGTGTAAACACTGAATGATCTTATGGAAGTAGTATAACTGTCTGCCATTATATATTGAATTATATTTTACATTACCTGGACTCAAAGGCCTTGTGAACTTTGTCCTTCACTTGGCGTCAGTCAAGATTTGATCTGTTGCTAAAAGTAAAAAGAATTTTTTGGCTTATATCTTAAAAACAAAAGCAGTTAGAGCAAAACTGACATTGGGTAAGTGCTCATCAGCATATTTTCGAGTTATTGCCCCTGAAATGTAACAACATTTTTTTTTACTTGGTCTCTTGTGTAATTTTTAGAAAAATAGGACTATCCATTTGGGAGATATTGCCCTTGAAATGTCAATACTTTGCTAATGTAGAAGATTTTAGTTATTTCTTGAAAACTATGATAAAGAGAAATTTTAAAAAGTGAAAATGACTAAAACAATAAGATCTTCCAATAAGTAATCATGGACGAAATCATCCTTGACGAGAGTTATTGCTGTTGAAAGACAATTTTTTAATTTTTTTCCCATGTTTTGGGGATACTATAATAGAAAGAGAAAAACTGTATAGAGCAAAATTGTTCAGCAAATTATGATCTACAAGTAAACCAACATGGAAGAAGTTGTCAATTGCCTCCTACTATGAGTTACTGCCATTGAAAGATGATTTTTGACCATTTTTACAGAAACCATAATACATGGAGATGGAGCAAAAATAGGATTTTCAAACAAGTCAACATGGCTGAAATCATTAATTGATACCTTATAGGAGTTATTGCTCTTGAAATATGTTTTTTACCCATATTATGCTTTTTTTGCAGAAACCATAATAGAGAAAAATTGTTTAATCAAAGATGTTCAAATAAATCAACATGACCCAAATTGTCAACAGACTCCTTATAGGTGTCACTAAATAACCATTTTTACCCATTTTATGTATTTATTTGTAGAAACTATATTAGCAAAAATGTTCAGCAAAATTAAATCTACAAATAAGTCAACATGTTTGAAATCGTCAATCAACCCTAAGAGGAGTTATTGTCCTTTAAAAATGATGGTTTTTGCATTTTTGGCAGAAAATATAATAGAGAAAAACAGTAAAAGCAAAAATTTTCAGCACAACAATATCTACAAATAAGTATACATTGCAGAAATTGTCAAGCACCTTATAGGGTTTATTTCACTCTGAATGATGATTTAAACCAATTTTTTGTCCAAAACTGTTGTAAATTTTTTCGAGAGAAACTTTAAAAAGCAAAACAAGATCTACAAATAAGTTAATTTGGCCAAATTTTTAGATTCCATATACAATATTTTGCCTTTAAATGAAGACTTTTTATACACCCGTTTACGGGACGTATTATGGTATACAGTTGTCCGTCTGTCCGACAGTCCGTCCGTCTGTCGTCAACATGTCGGACATTAACTCAAAAACGCTTTAACCAATTTGCATAAAACTTTGGTGAATTGTTTATATCTATTGACGTGAGCTCCCTTTCCTTTTTTATAAATTTTAGATTCTACGTTTCCGAGTTATGGGGTTTTATTCATTAAAAAAGGGGGATTTTCCAGTTTTCGGACAATAATTCAAGAATGCTTTCACCAACTTGCAAGAAATTGTGGTGAATTGTTTATATCTATTGACATGAGCTCGCTTTCGAATATTATATATTTTAGATTTTACGTTTCCGAGTTACAGGGTTTTATTCATAAAAAAAGGGGGATTTTCCAGTTTACGGACAAAAAATCAAAAATGCTTTCAGCAGTTCTCATGAAACTTTGGTGAATTGTTTATATCTATTGATGTAAGCTATGTTTAGAATTTTATAAATTTTACATTTTACATTTCTGAGTTATGGGGTTTTATTCATTAAAAAAGGGGGGATTTTCCAGTTTTCTTATGGGGTTTTATTCATTAAAAAAGGGGGGATTTTCCAGTTTTCGGACAATAACTCAAAAATGCTGTCAGCAATTCTCATGAAACTTTGGTGAATTGTTTATATCTATTGATGTAAGCTCCCTTTACATTTTCATAAATTTCTAATATGACATTGAGAATTAATTGAACTTTATTTGTTTATAGTCTGACAACAGATTTACTAAGTATTGCACAACAGCACAGTGTATTGCACAACAGCAAGAAATCTTTAATTGAATATTAATTCATTTCATATAACCAATTTCAAGTTCTTTGACTACATATATTCAGAAACCTATAATATGTCAAATATTTAATACAATCCAAATTCAGACCTGTATCATGCTTGAATATTGTGTCCATTTTTGCCCCAACTGTTCAGGGTTGGACCTCTGCGGGCGTATCCAGCTGCGCTCAGCGAAGCAGTTTATTACTAATATTTATAATTTTTCCAATTATACTGTAAACTTTGATAGATAGGTATAAACTGTTAACAGTAAAAATGATAATCAATACAAGATCTATAAACATATCACAAAATAAGATTAACAAATTAGGCCAAAATAAATTAATAGTGTGTTTCCTATTTCACCTCCAAAAAAGTTAGGTAGGTAAAACATTTTATTTTATGAAAACATTTTACTTTTTTTTCTATTGATGACAGCAGAAAAAAGTTCCAAATCAAATCGTTTGATGTGCGGCCTTCTTTGATATTTAGAATAGTAATTAAATCTACAGCTTTTTTAATTTTCTGTTTTATTTCTGCATCAGAAATATGAAAATAAACTTATTAATGAAAATTTTATGCATTTCATTGGTCGTAATAGAAAAGTGTATGATCTTGCCAATTAATTATCTTAAACCAAAAATGGCAGTGAAAAATCTGGCATGGTATGTTATTATGTTTGTCCTCGTTGAACCTAACAATGTAAATAACACACAGGGTATACATGTGGGAGCAGATTAGTACCCCTTGAAAACACTGTGAACCGATGCTAAGCAGCAGTTAGTTATGATTTTTTTAGGGTTAATACTCTGCCCTTGCACCCTCTTAATATACAGGTGTTTTGATGTTTGACAGAATGTGATCTTGATTGAAGAGTGGGTGGTTCTGACAATATTAAAATTCCAGGTTTTGAGAAGAGTGAGAATATGAAATCTTTGTCTTATTAATCTACTGGTCAAATAAATTGCAGATATAAATATGACATGATTTTTTTTCCTTTTCTTGTATAAATTGTTATGGGACCAGCCAGAAAAATAATAAAAAAGAATAAACGTAGACATGGTGCTGGGGCCGATTCATTTATAATCTGTCCCCTTGCCGTCATTAACTAAAAAGCGTTAACAGCCGTTTATGTTGCGTCCTGAGCACAATTCTGTACAACATTCGTAAGAGCATGTTTTACAACAAAAGCTGGATTGGTTTAAGCAGTAAATTGAACTCATTTTACTCTAAAATTGTTTGTCAATTATAACCAACAGATACAGTCGAGTCTGTCCAACCTGAAACGATTCTGACTTGGTCCAAAGAAGCACAGGTATAAGACGAGATTTTGTTAATATATGTATATATACTGAATACACTATTCATTATATATACAAATATTTAAAAAATTTCGCTGAAGTTGAGCACAATGCCAGTGATATTGTTTGCCTCGAATTACAGCCGAAATTCTGCTTTTTCCCCTAGAGAAAATTCCCAATTACTAAAAAAAATGGCTTAAAATTCCTCCCAAAAAGTTTTACATTTTCCCCAATCAGTGATAGCATTGGTAGGAATGTTTGTAAATATCGTATTCATGCTATTATTTTGATATTAGAAAGCACTTTTGAGATCCGGTTTTCTGATCAGAATCATCATGGTGTTTGTAACACATGTGGTTTTCAATGCATTAAGTACCATCATTGCTTCTGTTTCTTTCCCCTCTTCGAAAAGTACCTTTCAGGTTGAAAATGTCTGACAACCAAAATATACATGAAAAAACAGTGCAAAAAAGACTGCAAAGGTCAGCAAAAAAACGTAGATGCGTTTAGAATAAAATATACAAATTTCCCAATTTCAATAAAAAATATGCATTTTTCCCAATAAAAAACGGTAGAGGTAGTTTTGAAAAAAGACAACAATATCACTGAATGCGTCAACTTCGTATTTTTTTCGTCTATAGGTCCATAATGAAAAAAACATAAATATGGGATTCTTTTTCAAAATTAGAAAAAATGCAATGTTGTAGAAATTAATTTGATTTAATTTGTGTATTGTTTTGCATTATTCTAGCAAGGATTTAAAGGAAAGAGGTACACAGTTTGAAATTGAACAGCATGTTATGCCATTTCTTCTCTTAGACGGGACAGATTGATCATGTGTAAAGGGGTAAATTCAGTAAAAAATCTCCCATTGACTTTAATGCTAATCTATGTTTTGAATTAAATTTATACCTGATTTACCTTTAGAAATTGGAAGCTTTCATATATCATTCATGAAAGTACAAATGTAGCCCTATCTTTTGCAACAATAAAAACATAGGGTCATGCGGCATTTTTGGGCATTCACATGACCTTGTTTACAAACACTGTAGATTCGCACTTAATTCCTTTACTGACCCCCATTACTTTTCAACCCTGTAGTAAAAAAATTTTGTATATTCAGCATTCATTTTTTAATTTTTTTTAACTCTAGTTTTAATCCATCTATCAAAAAATATTTATTACAAACATTATCTACCAATCAGAAGAGCACATGACTTCAGTTTTGTACAGAAAGCTCTCCCCCAAATGGGCGGTCCCTGATGACGTATATTTATTTACTGAATTTACGCCTAAAGATAAAAATTTGAAATAGATAATAATTAGATATATATTTTTACTGGATTTATTACAATTTTGATCTAAAAAGCTTTACAAGTACATGCAGTTAAATCAATTGAATTTTGGTCGTAAAAAGCTTTACAAGTACCTGTTGTTAAATCAATTGAATTTTGGTTGTAAAAAGCTTTACAAGTACCTGTTGTTAAATCAATTGAATTTTGGTCGTAAAAAACTTTACAAGTACCTGTAGTTAAATCAATTTAATTTTGGTCGTAAAAAGCTTTACAAGTACCTGTAGTTAAATCAATTGATTTTTGCATTGAAAAGTATTAATTTTCCTCAAAAACACATAAATGCATATGGCAGGACTATAAGAGCAGAGGGGATCTTCACCCGTCTTATTTTTGGGCAACCTAGGACACTGGTTTATTTTCCAGAATCTCTCAATTGAAGCTGGCACCAATATCTGATAGTCAAATATTTGTCTAAGATTAAAAACAAAGGTAGCTGTAAAAAAAAAACAAGAGTTCAAATTATAATGAAAAACATATTTATACATTAATCCAACCTTTTAGGAAGAATCTTTATTTGGAAATTTCTTCTGTTTAAAAAGTTGAAGAGTTCAAACTTAAGACTGTAATACCATGTTGCTATAAGGCCATGGGGAGAACAATCCTGATTTCCCATGATACAAAAAATCAAGTCACTATTTAAAAGAAATTGTTATGTGAATTTACTGACCTTATCTTTCTGAAGAATGGCAATACTGTAGCAATATGTAGTATTGTTATATTATGTTTTGTTTGTTCAACACTTCAATATATATGGTTTGATATTATGCACACAAGTCTTCCAAATCTTTACACCAGTGATTTCTATCACTTTGATATCAGGTTATCTTTTCACTGTAATACATACTATATACATATATACTGTGATTCCTTGTTAGATGGAGTATGGACAAGAATAGAATGAAGTATAAGCCAGCTAATCTCCATGTGGAAGTTGTTCCTTTCTTTTTTGGTAAGGCATGGACAATTTATACATTTTACCAAATATGTTTATTTTGAAGTTATGCACAGCAGAAATTACTTTTACAATTGTCTGACAATGATTTTGCTTAAGTTGGAAAGTGCCTTGAAAAAAGATTAATTGATTGAAGTTCTTTAGAGAGAAAAAACAGAAAATGTTGACCACCAAGCAGGCATCATGCAGGACCTGTTTTGTTCTGCATATTTCTGATAGTTATATTAACTGCCAAGTATTACCATTTTTGCATCAATATTTTTTAGCATGTCTTTATTTTAAATTATTTCTTTATGAATCAATAAGAGTGAAATAGATCAATTGAAATATGAAACCAATTAAAAACTTTTGACATGCCAGGTTTTCAATACAAGGTAACGAATGTAATTGATCTCCAAGTCTTGACTTGAATGACTTCAAAAATTTATTGTTACCCCTTACCTAGGAATTCCACAATATTGGAAGCCCACTAAAACTTAACAAATTCTCAGTACAATAAAGGATTCCTTAGAACAGTAACTTCAGTTTAAATCCTAATTTTAGAATGACTTTTATCAAATTTATAGCTTTGTATTTTCAGATTGTTTTGATAGGGGCCATTTATCATTTGATTTAAGAATACGTCTCCTACATATGTTTGGTGCTATCATGTGTGGTTCACAGGTATTTATATACTATACATAAAGTACACATTGATACATGTGATTACATAGATATAATAAATAGAATGTCATATACTGAAAGTTCTACACACTGGAATGAAAGTATGATTACATATACACTTACAGTCTGTCACAGAATAGATAACTATCATCAGGGTTTCTGCTGGCAGTTGCCATTTTCACATTTTGCGAAAAAATAAAAATTGTGGCGAATAAAATTAATTATTGGCGAAAGAATTTGGCGAAAGAAATATAATGGTTCGACATCGTCCATTGTTTACTTTTTTCGGGTTACTCAGACTTCTTCCCCAGTTACCTGATCAGACAATACTGGGAATTCACCTTGAAGTCGTTACGATTTTGATAGAAAATCATTTATCAGCTGATTGCATTTTATACCTATTGGCAACAAAGGATTATAAAGGTGTTGATTGTATTGTTTCATGAAATGATGCGGTTAATTGGCTTCACATGTCACTTAAAGGATTTTTTACAACTTTGATTGAAATAATTGTTTTGAAGTGGATACTTTACAACGTTTTAGCGATACACGTGTTTGAAACATATTTTACGTCTGCTCTTTTTCTTTTAACGATGGTCTGGTGGAAAAAAAACTGTTGTTATGAAGAAAAATGTTCAAAAGTAAGAAAAATCTCTGACTTTAAATTTTATCCTATAACTTTTGATAGAAATAATTTTTGAAGCGGGTAATTTAAATTGTTTTAGCGACGCACGTGTTTGAGGCATAGTTTTATGTCCAAACTTTACTTTTAATGATGGTCCGGAAAAGAAAACTTTTGTTAAGAAGAAAAATATTTGAAAGTAAGAAAAATCTCTGACTTTAGTCTTTATCCTTCAACTAGACGGGAAGCACCTTATAAACTATCATAGATGAATCCCATGTTCGCCGGCGGAAGTCAAAATTATGATTTCATGATCTATAATGCAATTTTACAGTATCTTTTGAAAACTAAATGTTTGTTATTATTGAGTGTTTATTCATTAAAAATAATATTAAGAATTATAAAAGATATAGTTAGTTTTCTCGTTTGAAATGTTTTACATTTGTCATTTCGGGGCCTTTTATAGCTGACTATGCGGTATGATTTTTGCTCATTGTTGAAGGTTTTACAGTGACCTATAGTTGGTAACTTCTATGTCATTTGGTCTCTTGTAAAGAGTTTTCTCATTGGCAATCATACAACATCTTATTTTTATACGACCGCAAAAAAATTTGTGGTCGTATATTGGTATCACGTAGTCGTCGTCCAAAGACATTTGGTTTCCGGACATTTAGTAAATGTAAATAGAAATCTATGAAATTTAAACACAAGGTTTATAACCACAAAAGGAAGGTTGGGATTGATTTTGGGGGTTGAAGTCCTAACAGTTTCGGAATTAGGGGCCAAAAAAGGGTCCAAATAAGCATTATGGTATACCGTTGACCGTCTGTCCGTCCGTCTGTCCGTCCGTCCGTCTGTCTGCCCGTCTGTCAGTTTGTCGTCAACATGTCGGACATTAATTCAAAAACGCTTTAACCAATATGCATGAAACTTTGGTGAATTGTTTATATCTATTGACGTGAGCTCCTTTTCGTTTTTTATAAATTTCGGATTTACTGTTCCTGAGTTTTGGGGTTTTATTCATTAAAAAAGGGGGGATTTCCAGGTTTTCGGACAATAACTCAAAAACAATTTCACCAATTTGCATGAAACTTTTGTGAATTGTTTATATCTATTGACATGAGCTCCCTTTTGTTTTTTATAAATTTCGGATTTACTGTTCCGAGTTTTGGGGTTTTATTCATTAAAAAAGGGGGCGATTGTAGTTTTCAGACAATAACTCTAAAACAATTTCACCAATTTGCATGAAACTTTTGTGAATTGTTTATTTTTATTTAAGTGAGCTCCCTTTCGTTTTTTATAAATTTCGGATTTACCGTTTCTGAGTTTTGGGGTTTTATTTATTAAAAAAGGGGGATTTTCCAGTTTTCGGACAATAACTCAAAAACAATTTCACCAATTTGCAAGAAACTTTGATGAATTGTTTATTTCTATCGACATGAGCTCCCTTTTGATTTTTATAAATTTTAGACTATACGTTTCCGATTTATGGGGTTTTATTCATTACAAAAAGGGGGATTTTCCAGTTTTTGGACAATTGTTTATATCTATTTTTGTAAGCTCCCTTTTGATTTTTATAAATTTTCAAATTTAGGTTTCCGAGTTATAAGATTTTATTTGTTTATAGTCTGACAACAGATTTACTAAGCATTGGGCAACAGCACAGTGTATTGCACAACAGCAAGAAGTCTTTTATTGAATATAAATTCAATTCATATAACCAATTTCAAGTTCTTTGACTACATTTATTCAGAAACCTATAATATGTCAAATATTTAATTACAATCCAAATTCAGACCTGTATCAATCTTGAATATTGTGTCCATTTTTGCCCCAACTGTTCAGGGTTGGACCTCTGCGGGCGTATCCAGCTGCACTTAGCGAAGCAGTTTATTCTAGTTTCCAAACAATAACTTGTGGAACGGTGTATGGATCTCTCTGATATTATACCACAGGTTTCCATACCACAAAGGGATGGTTAGGATTAGCTTTGGGGAGTTATGGCTTGAACCGTTTAGGAAGAAGGGGCAAAAAAAGGGGAAAAACAATGGTTTCCTGGTTAATGGACAATTAAAAAAAGTGCAATGTTATGTTTGGATTACCTCCCTTACACTGCTTTTAAATTATGTATAAAGAAATGTTGTATTTTCTTGAGGTGATTAGCTGTCAATTTATTTTCAGAAGTTACTATTTTAAAAAAAATGCTGATGAAGGAATATCAATTTTAGCCATGATTATGTATGTCATTTTCTATTTTAAGACTTTTATGATGTATTTAAATGGGTAATTATGGTTGCAAACTCCATTGGAAATTTGAATTGAGATTATGACCATATCTTGAGGGAAAGAATTTTTTTTTTTGGCAAAAGGGGGGGGGGGGGGGGGGGAGTGAAAAAAAAATGGGGGGGGGGGGGGTAAAAAAGAAATTGCGAGGGGGGGGGGGTCAATTCGCCACAGCATATTGTATTGCACAAAAGCAAAAAAAAAAGGGGGGGATTTTTTTTTTTTTTTTTTGGGGAGGGGGGTCAATTCACAACAGCATAGTGTATTGTACAAAAGCAAAAAATTGAATATAAATCAGTGTTAAGTTTTTGTGTTTTGGTCTGTTTTTCTTAAACTATAAGCAATAGGTCAACTATATTTGTTGTATGGAAGAATTGTTAGCTGTACATGCCTGCTTAGCATGGTTCATCTGACCTTGACCTCATTTCCATGGTTCATTGTTCAATGTTTAGTTTTCTTGGTTAATGTTAAGTTTATGTGACAGTTGTAAGAAAGCTTTATATTTAGGACTATCAACATAATATCAATGATTAGTAAAGAAGGCGAGACATTTCAGCGTGTGCACTCTTGTTGTAGTTAGGTCTGCTTCTCAGATATTGTTAAAAGTCAACTTTATTTGATGTAAAGAATGGTTGTTAGGTGTACATGTCCATCTGGCAGGGATCCTCTGGACTTGATCTGTTTTATATAGATCATTGGTAATGTCAAGTGTATGTGTTACCTGTGGTAAAACCTGTAACTTAAAGTCTTGCAACTTAGAATTCAATCATGATTAGTAATTTTTATGTTTAAATTAATGTTAATAAACAGCATCTCTAATATAAACTGATGACATAGTAATTTACATAATGCAATTGTTAAACAGTGAGAGTTCCAGTGTAACCTGGAGTAACAGTCCAAACAAAAATTTGTGACAACATTAACTGCAATGCTTTTTTTAGAATATCACACTGGTTAGGCACAATTTGTGCCTAAGAATATGTTTTTCTTTTTGGTATCTTCATGTGGTAAGACCACTTTATAGGAAGGCTTATAATTATAATTACACCTTATATAAGAATGCCGGATTTTGATTGGTTGGTAGCCAGTGTATTTTTCACATATTCTAACCTTTATTAAGGCAACATGATTAAGCAATATTGATTGATAGAGGTAATCCCAAAACTGTAAACAAAAATATCAGACAACACGACTGCACAGCACCAATCTCGTGATCGTATATTGAAGAATGAGTTGTGTATATAAAGTGGAAAAAGACTTCTATACAAATGAACGATTTAATGATGGAATGACAATGACGTTTACACATAGATACCATGACGTTACGTAAAGACAGCGCCAGCACGTATAAGTACATGTATAATTCCCACGGTACTATGATAGTCTCTACTTATCCTCAACATTTTGCATAAGCATGTTTATGGATTACATCTTACTAGTAAAAAAAAAAGATTTCCCTTCACCTGTACAGAGAGTTTCAATCAAAATCTATTCGGTGTAATTAAACAGATATATGTTATGTAGGGGTATTTGCAAAAAAATACGAGTCTTGGAACCAAATTTTCCTTGCCTAGCGGCTCTGGAAATTTCACAGTACCTCAACTGGTATTTCCACAAATACCCCTCCATAACATGATATATCTGTTCATTATTACAATGTAAGGTCTTCAAATGACAGCACACATAAAAATATTGTTAATAAAATAATATCAATGGCACACATCAAAGTAATTATTAATCCTATCCTATATAGTACATTCTTCATTTATCTTATTTTAGAATAATGCATTGAAAGTAATAACCCCAGCTACTTTAGAAGTGTTACTCAAAATGTTATCAGCAGATCATGTGACTGGGCCAACCAATGAATTGCGACATGAGTTGTTCTGTATAAAGGATCTGGTATTGAAATGTATTATATGTATGGTACATGTCATCAACTTAGCCAGTATTGACCAGGTACAATTTATACAAACTATGTTGCAAGAAAAACAAATATACCAGATTAGGTTTTTGTAAAGACTGGAAATTAGTAGATAACTGTATTGTATTTTAAGCATGGCCTTTGAAAACATAAATTTTACTGTCACGAATTGAGTTTTCCGCTAGTTAAGCAGACATTTGCCACAGTAACATCAAGTTTTACTAAAGGCAAAGCTTAAAATACAGTTATCTGCATTCTAATGCCACATATTAAAATAAATTCCATTTTAGTAAATATTTTGGCTTAAAAATGTGACTTTTTTGTTTGTTTTTTGAGAATTTAATACCAAAATATTTCGTAATTCAAAATGTTGGCTTTCCTTAGTTATGGACTTGTAGAACGTGAAATATAACCCTTCAAAATATTTTCAACGTCCAATGAAAATTATGGTTATAAACGAATTGCATTAGAATGATATTTTTAAATACTTTGGATTCATTATTATTTGTGGAATATAAAATTTTGTGGATTTCACAGGTAAAAGTAAACCAGAAATTTAAATGTTCAAGGAAGTACTGTCGTACAAATTTTCTATAGGCTTGTATGCAGACTTTGGCATAGTACAAAATCCGATATCAACGAAAGTTGCAACTTTTCCTCAATCCACAAAAATGGGTACACAGATAAATAAATGAACCCACAGTACTTGGAACAAATGGACAGAAAGGAATTCTTTTTTAACTGGTTGTGTTTCAGAATATTCAGATAAAACTGTGTCAAAACTTTAACTATACATATTTAACCTTTACAATTATTGTTAGTTGATCATTAAGGTGTAATACCACCATTGATTTTCCCCTATTAGTCTTTGTTGAATTTGCACTTTTCAAAAAATTGTGCAGAATTTATCTTTGTTTCAAATAAAGAAATACTTGGCATGAGTAAAGTTTGATCCTGTCCAGTACTATAGAAAAAATTTCACATAACATTTCGTTGCATATAAGAAAATAATCATCACTGGAAGTTAACCAATCAAATTTTCCCCCTTTTTTAACCTGTGTACAAGCTTTAGTAACCATGTAACCTCAAGTTTCCAAAATATTCTATAGAAACCCCAAATAAAAAAATAATGGTGCTTTGAAATACCCAAGATATATGTTTATGACCCAGAAATGTTTTACTGCAATGAAATGTAGGATCAATTACCTACAACTGTCAAATTCAAGGGAATATTTTTTTTCGACCTATTTTCGTATGCAACCGGATGTGACGTACTATGATTTGGTGGTATTACACCTAAAGCTTCCTGATATTTGCTACCAACCTTTTGTCTTTATAAGGGAATTTGTATTTTGCAATTGAAGCAGTGTAGATAGTGTACTTTCTCATACAAAAGGCACATATTACAACATTGTGTTGATGATACAAAAGTAATAAATCTTCTTTTCACTCTATAGGCTGAGCATGAGCTTATGTTTGTGAGCAGTACATCATGTTGAAAGCTTTCTATTCTGCACAACTAACATTATTAGTAAGTTTTGGGAAGATGTGTGGTTTCATCAATCTGTCAAATAAGAATTTTTTTTTATAAACATGAAAAAAAAGATGAAGAGTTTATTTGTTTAAATATTGAAAAATAATTACAGAGACAGGTAGAGGTGTCCCATGTGATGGAGGATTATATAAAGATTTTGTTAAAGAAAGAAGATGAACCACAGGACGAACAAGAAACACACATACAGTTAGCTATGATTGGTTTGTTTATTTACCTATCACTAAATTGTTGGTCTTAAAATGGGTAAAATTTCTTCAAGTTATTTGTATTCATTTATAAGAAGTCCAAAGAATGCTATATTCTGGTCTATCCTGGCTATTTTAGTGCAAATCTATCATTTAGGAAATCATATTCATATTGAAATGTAGCAATATGGGCATTGTTTACAGGCATCACCAAAGTTCAGAATTTGGTCACTTCTACCTAGCAGCCAAACAGGGAAAATGAAGACCCAAGTGAAGACATTGGAGAGAAGTGAGGGATTGATAATGCTTTTCATGTGATAAATTTGTCATCATTACCTCTCCATGTTAGGTCATTAGTCTTTATTATCACAAATGTTAAAGTTTTATTTTCTTGTCTTGTGGTCTAAAAGAATTGTTGAAGAATTTAAAGAATAAAACATTTAATTTTGCTTTGCTAATTCAATCAAAATTCTTGTTAAAATAACCAGGTTGACAAAAAAAAGCTACTGAAATTCACAAATTTTGTCAATCATCTATTTGTTTTTGGAACCACAATTTTCCAAGTATAGAGTGCATGCCAGTACCAAATAAATAAAAGCATGGTATATGTCTATATGAAAAACACTTTTTGTCATGTTAATATGTATAAAAAGTAAAATAAAAAAAATACCGAACTCCAAGGAAAATTCAAAATGGAAAGCTTATCAAATGGCAAAATGAAAAGCTCAAACACATCAAATGAATGGAAAACAACTGTCATATTCCTGACTTGGTACAGGTATTTCCTTATTTGATACTTGAATGTGCTTGTTATTTCACCTCAAAGATAGTTTCTTTAATAATTTATTTTAGTTAAGGAATGACTGTAATATTTTTTCTGTTTATGAAGAAATAACATCAAAAATGTGGTGCACACTGAATAACCCACGTAGCGGGTTATTTTAAAGTGTGCCCCACATTTTTTATGTTATTTCGAATAGAAAGAAAAAATATTACAGTCATTTCTTATAATTTAATTCTAAATTCCATTTTAAACCAGAGTAAACCATGAAAAAACGTTGATGACGTCACGGTCACATGACAAAATTATGTCTATGAGCTGATAAACAAAACAATGTCAGCCAATCAGAAGACGCGTTACATCCAAAATTAAATTATTCGTTTTTGTAACGTAGAAAATAATTAATTTATGGTATCTCTCGAATATAGTCTACATGAAATATTCACCTACATATCATATATTTTTTTCTCGCGAAAATCAAATTTTTTACAGTTACTAATACACTGTACTTCAATTTTTAGGCCAAACTGGGGCTTAGCCTGTATGACAAAAAACTCTAATAATTTAGATTTTTCAGATACAATGTAAGCAACAAGTTATATAAACAAAATATTTTTACCATATCAATAGTGATATTTTTCCTTGCTATTGCTTTAAATTAAAGGTAAGTTTAAAAGAATCAGATGTCAAAACGAGATTACCTTTTTTGAAATATAAAAATAAGGAGGTGTGGTATGAATGCCAATGAGAAAACTATCCATTAAGGTCAAGGAGGTAAGCAACTACAGTTCACTGTATTACCTTCAACAAGGAGCAAAATCCAAACTGTATAGTAAGCTATGTAAGCCCAGGTAACAATTGTGAAACAATACAACAGAAAACCAAAAGCCTAATTTAGTCAATTAACATTATACAAAAAACAATTATGGCAGATGGCAACCAACAACAATCACAGGACTACAGGCTCCTGGCTTAGGAAATACACTAGTGAATGAAGCAGGGTTAAACATGCTTGTTCAAATTTCAACTAATAGATAAATTATATATAGATGTTTTCTCAGACTAAAATATCAATTAGTACACCTCCAATGGATTTTCTGTAAAAAAGTCATAAACAGTCTGAGAAAAGTTTGATCTTGTGCAATGCCAAAATATAAGTATGGAAAGAATGTAGGATCATAAGTTGCATACAAAGGAAAATATGTGAGTTCAAATTAAAAAATTTAAATAATAAATTGTGATGATCATCAAAGAATGAAGGTTTTCTATGTTATCTAAGAATTTTTATTTGATTATTCCTGGAAGCCAGTCAGGTTTTAAATTTTTGTGGTGGTGTAGGTGATAGTACAGTGCTATTCGTTCTATTTAGATTTTGCAGGATTTATACAATTGATAGCTGTTAAATCAAACTTACGCTAGCAAAACTTTGTTATATTTAAGTAAAAACATTAATTGCATGCCTTATAATAGGTTAATATTGTTTTACATTTTAGGTGCTATAAATGAAATGTTGTCATGTCAGGACAAAAGTTCCTTACAAGTTATAATGGTCAGTGGTGGAACATTTGATGCATTTATTTCCTTGCTACAGAAAACTGCTGTGAGTTTACAAAATATGGTAAAAAGGGAATATATGTGGTGAATGTACCAGTAATGGGACAACATTCTATTGAAATACTTAGAAATAAACCTATGGAATGACACTTCTCATTCTGTTTTTCATCTTGCATGGAAATAATTGCAGCATTTATAATAGAATATTTTTTTTTTAAATTATACACACGTACTTAAGTAAGCATTGAAATATAGAAATTAGAAAATTATCAAGTTCAAGTATTTAGTTAAGGTTTACCAAAAAATTTTGATAACATCAATTTATGTTCATTGTTAGGTAAATTAGAAAATTATATGACATATTACAATTTTGAGCCTGATTTCATAGTTCACTGAACATGGACATAGAATGGTGTGGACACATATTCTTGTTTTGTATTGATAGTTTTCTTATATGGGTTTTCAAAAGATTTTATTTTAATTTTCATGTTTTTTGCTCACCTTGCCCAATGGGCCAAGTGAGCTTTTCTCATCTCCTCTGAAACTACTGGGCCAAATTTAACCAAACTTAGCTACAATCATCATTGGGGTATCTAGTTTAAAAAATGTGTCTGATGACCCTGCCCGCCAACCAAGATGGCCGCCATGGGTAAAAATAGAACATAGGGGTAAAACAGGGCTTCCAAAACGGTCATATTTTCCGGACAAGTCCGATAAATTATATAAATGACTTGTTGTGCCGAGACTGAAACGGACAAATAAACATAGTTCAGAAAAAAAATTGAAGTTTATGCGATCTTTTTGACCTGACCTTTAGCCTTAAACAGCCACACATTTCCGGTCATATAAGTGACATGATGAATGATTACTATCAAAACAAATCATACTTTAATACCCTCTCATTACAATCAAGGTTAATTAGTTCTCTGACAGCTGATTTTACCTGTTCAGGCGACAGGTAAACTATTTTGTACCGGACATTGATCAGTCTATTAAAAGTTATTTTCTTAAATTTCAGCGGTTTGCATCTTATATATTTAGTCATCAAGATTCAGATTACCAGAAAACGTATATAAATGTGATTTGATGAAAATTTAAAAAGGTAGTAATAAAGGTTTAAAGTGAAAAATCGTCAGAACCACGTAGTTTGAACTAGCACACTCGTGCTCATGTACGCAGGTGCGCAGGTGTGAGATTTAATATGCATCTGAATTTTCAAAAATGCAAAAAATATCATTGATACCTTTATCTAACATCCATTTCGAGTATTTTCCTATAGAAATAACGCAGAAAGAGCTACTTAAACTCAATCGTGCGTTGTAAACGTACACAGATTTTACGTATCCGTCTCTGGTCCGTGTTTTACCATTGTCAAGTCAACATTTGGTATTAGGAATATGTACTTTTTAAAAACGAAAGTGAAGTTATTGACAGTGTTGTTTTGCACAAATAAAGAGTCTTAGGCAGATATCAATACGCTGATATTGCACACTTCGAATGGTGCACTGTCAATTTAACAGTTAACGCCAGAACATCGAGTTTATATTTAAAATCAAGTCAAATACCAATTTTTGTGTCATTCAAAATTTATATGATGCCCAACTGATTACTATGGTTGCCTTTTGTTACTAAGTCTTAAGGGATTAAAATCGGGATAAGACAAAAAAAAAATGTCCGGCTGGCTCAAATATTTTTTGGAAGCCCTGGGGTAAAATATAGATTTTGGCTTATATCTCTGAAACCAAAGCATTTAGAGCAAATCTGACATGGGGTTAAAATGTTCATCAGGTCAATTTCTATCTGCTGTGGTAGATTCAGACAAATCAGACAACCCATTGTTGGGTTGCTGCCCCTGAATTGGTAATTTTAGGGAAATTTTTCAGTTTTTGGTTATTATCTTGAATAGTATTATAGATGGAGATAAACTGTAAGCAGCAATTATGTTCAGCAAAGTAAGATCTACAAAAAAGTCAACATGACCAAAATGGTCAATTGACCATTTAAGGAGTTATTGCCCTTTATAGTAAATTTTTAACAATTTTTCGTAAATTTTTGTAATCTTTTACAAAAATCTTCTCAAGCTACAAAGACAAATTCAACCAAACTTGGCCACAATCACTATTAGGGTATCTAGTTTAAAAAATGTGTCTGATGACCCCGCCTGCCAACCAACATGGCTGCCATGGCTAAAAATAGAACATAGGGGTAAAATGCAGTTTTTGGCTTATATCTCTGAAACTAAAGCATTTAGAGCAAATCTGATAATGGGTAAAATTGTTCAGCAGGTTGAAATCTATTTGCCCTGAAATTTTCAGACTAATAAGAAAACCCGTTGTTGGGTTGCTGAACGACTTATCATAAGTCAATGGTATTTGGTATGCAGTTGTATTAGCATTGGCACATCTCATTCCATGGAGATAGTTTAGCCATGTACCTTCAGTCATGGTTCATCGACTTTGAATATTTGCATAACTTACATATTAAAGCAGTGGTCTTGTTAGCCCAAAATAGAAGGGCGCCGCGCCCTTGGTGCCCTCAGCCGCGCCCTGGGTGCCTTCATCCGCGCCCTGGGTGCCTTCATCCGCGCCCTTCTACCCTGACGCCTTTTTCCCAAAAACCCTTGTGCCGTTTTGGTAAAATTGCCTTTTGTTTCATCGATTTCTTATCACAAAGTTAAATTACATATATGACACCAGGTGATTGCCCCCTGGTTAATCGTGTCATTACAATCAATTACAGTGGATAAGACTTCAAAGGTGTTAATAACTAGGTAATTTAATTAAGACAATGTACCGGTTTGTCATAAATTTGATGAATGTGTCAGCGAGTGTTTTTAGCTTGGGTCGGCATTTTAGCTCTCCTAGAAGAGTGTATAAATGAAGACTTCCATGACTTTAGAATAGAATTTAAGTCATCAAAATACAACTATGCCTTCACAGAAACGCTGTCCATCTCAACTTGTGAGCGACAAGCAAGCAGTAAACGTGTTAGAAATTAATTTTGGAGTTACTTCCCCTGTTTTAGCTTATTACAAATTTGTGCTCCTAAAATATTATCTAGTATTAAAAATAGGAATAAATTACCAATTGAATACAAAATTATATAAGAATGTTACCTTAAGGATATTCACTGTCTTTGAACATACCAAAAAAAAATATATTGCAATTTATTTTTGATAATCATACTTTTAGCAATCCATGTTCTATACATGCCAACTAAGAAATTTGTAAGTTCAATTGTTATGATGATGTTAAGCTGCAATCCTATAAAAATGGGTAGTGTGAAGTTAAACTATCATGACATCAACTTGATGAAGCTTTACTAAATAATTCCTTAACACATACAATGAAAAAAAGTTTTGAGGGCCAAACTCTAGCTGAAAATTTTGAAATAAGACAACTCTGTCACATGTATGCTAAACTATGAGATGTTTAGTTTATGTTGTTTTTTTTTGGAAAAGGGGGGGGGGGGGGAATAGTAAGTAAATTTGCCTCCATTGGTTTATAGTGATGTGATGTATGAATGTGTATTGACATGTTTTATGAACATGTCGTATGAATTACATTTTCTAATGCAAATTTTATAGAATAAATAATCAAAACAACAACTTATGCATCTTTATTAACAACATATACAGTAAATAAAGAATGTGAACTCGTGATACACACAGAAACGTAGACAAAAGAAATGAGCAGTGCCTTTTCCTTTCATAAAAAAGTGCCCTGCCCTCCACTGGCACCCTGCCCCTTTTGATTTCTGGCTGGAGCACTGTAAAGTATTGCTATTTTAATTTCAACATTTGCATTATCAAAATTACAAAAAGGCGAGACATATCTCTGTGATAACAGTTTATTTGTAATGTTAATTTCTCTCTTATAATGAGTAATAGGATAACTATATTTGGTATGTGCGAACCTTGCAAGGTCCTCATGCGTGTCGGACAGTTTTCACTTGCCCTCGACCTCATTTCATGGATCAGTGAACAAGGTTAAGTTTTGGTGGTCAAGTCCATATCTCAGATACTAGAAGCAATAGGTCTAGCATATTCGGTGTATGGAAGGACTGTAAGGTGTACATGTCCAACTGGCAGGTGTCATCTGACCTTGACCTCATTTTCATGGTTCAGTGGTTATAGTTAAGTTTTTGTGTTTTGGTCTGTTTTTCTTATACTGTATGCAATAGGTCAACTATATTTGGTGTATAGAATGATTGTAAGGTGTACATGTCTAGCTGGCAGGTGTCTTCTGACCTTGACCTCATTTTCATGGTTCAGTGGTCAATGTTAAATTTTTGTGTTTTGGTCTGTTTTTCTAATACTATAAGCAATAGGTCAACTATATTTGTTGTATGGAAGATTGCAAACTGTACATGTCTGCCTGGCATGGTTCATCTGACCTTGACCTCATTTTCATGGTTCATTAGTCAATGTTTAGTTTTCTTGGTTAAGTCTGTATCTTAGAAACTATAAGCAATAGGTCAACTATATTTAGTGTATTGAATGATTGTAAGGTGTACATGTATTTCTTGTTTGGTTTATATGACCTTGACCTCATTTTCTTGGATCATGTTAAGTTTATGTGATAGTTGTAGTAAAGCTTTATATTTAGAACTATCAACATAATATCAATGATTAGTAAAGAAGGCGAGACATTTCAGCGTGTGCACTCTTGCTGGTTTTATCTTAAATATTATTATAGATAGAGATAAACTGTAAACAGCAATAATGTTCAGCAATGTATATAATTTTGTGACTATAACTACAATGTCAAGTTTAAGTTGTTATGTGAATAATGAAGATGGTGAAAGAATTAGTTAGGGTGTACTCAGGTTTTAAGATGATGAATGTAGTCAGGTTGTTTGATCATCCATACATCAACATTTTGTTTTAGGAATAAAATCTCTTGAGCAATAAACATATTTTCAAGATTTGATGCTATGGAAAGTTAACTTTTTAAATTTTTTACATTTTAGTTAACAGGCAGTGAAGGCCAGAATTTGGCCATGTCAGTGTTGGGAGTAATGAACTCAGTCCTGTCAGGATCTGTTAGTGCTAAGGTTTGTAGTCCCATGTCAATGTTGGTAGTAATGAACGCAGTCTTGTCGGGATCTGTTAGTGCTCAGGTTTGTAGACCCATGTCAGTGTTGGGAGTAATGAACGCAGTCCTGTTAGGATCTGTTAGTTCTCAGGTTTGTAGACCCATATTGGTGTTGGGAGTAATGAAAGCAGTCCTGTCAGGATCTGTTAGTGCTAAGGTTTGTAGACCCATGTCAGTGTTAACGTTGGGAGCAGGGCTTCCAAAAAATATTTGAGCCAGCTGGACATTTTTTTTTGTCATCCCGATTTTAATCCCTTAAGACTTAGTAACAAAAGGCAACCATAGTAATCAGTTGGGCATCATAGAAATTAAGATTGACACAAAAACGATATAATAACTTTTAATGCCCCGCCGTAGCGGTGGGGGCATTAAGTTTTACCCTTGTCCGTCCGTACGTCCCAAAATTGGTTTCCGTTCTCTAACTTGAGATTGCCTCAACCAAATGTTATGAAACTTATACACAATGCTTATTACCACAAAACACAGATCAAGTTTGAATTTTGGTGGCGTCACTTTAACCGTTCTAGAGTTATATCCCTTTATAAATGGAAAAATTGCAAAATTTTTAGTTTCCATTCTCTAACTTAAGTTTGCCTCAACCAAATGTTACGAAACTTATACACAATGCTTATAATCACAAAACACAGATCAACTTTGAATTTTGGTGGCGTCACTTTAACCGTTCTATAGTTATGCCCCTTTATAAATGGAAAAATTGCAAAATTTTTATTTTCTTCTTAATATCAAGTAATTTTTGTCAAGCCTGCGACTTTTGTCGCAGAAAGCTCGACATAGGGATAGTGATCCGGCAGCGGCGGGGGCTACGCGGCGGTGGCGGCGTTAGCTTACTTCTTAAAAGCTTTATATTTTAGAAGGTGGAAGATCTGGATGCTTCATACTTTGTATATGGATGCCTCATGTTACGAAGTTTCCGTCAGTCACCATACATGTGAACCTCCCGACGGGAGTACAATATCCCGTTTTCAGGGGTCTCCTCCCAACCTCCCGTTGAGAAAAAAATCCTGTGTATGAAATTTTTCATGAATGAAAAATTTCTGCCCAACATATCTCAGACATCTGGTGTAACTGACATTACCTGAAGTTATATTTTACCTGTAAATCAGTTAACATGCATAATTATATGGCTTCACTTGTCAGCTTGGGTGTCAAACATACTGGTAATCAACGATTTTTACCTCAGGCTAACTGCCGTTGTGTAATAAAAACTTTGTGTATATATTAGGTTACTTCCCTTGATTTATCCTGTTTTAAGTTACTTTCCTTTAAATAATGTAAATTTTTAAAAGAATATAAATAAAATATAAATTGAACAAATGATCATAAAAGGATGGTAATTAAATGATTTTAAATGTCTTAGAACAAGTAAAAAAATAATAATTTGAAAATTATTTGAGGGTTCTATACTTCCTTTTAAGGCTTAAATTGAAATTTATATAATAACTATGACCCTGGTTCAAGATTAAATGAGTTTCTAAATATGCAAATATAAACTAATTGCAAATGCAGATAGTTAAACAAATGTTCTGATTGCAATGCTTGTTCTATAGAATAATGATATAAAAGACATGAATTAAAAAATTTAAAGAACATATTAAAAATAAAGAATGTTATATTGAACATGTAGAAAATAAAGATATAGAAACTTTATAAGTACAAGGGTACTATAAACATAATACATTCGGATCGAAAGTTGAAGAAAACACACTTTTAAAGACAATTTTTACAGCACATGGTTACATTTACGACAAAAGTTATGTCGATTAAAAACCTCCTGATCTGAGTCCTAATCTCCTGACCAAAATTTCCCAATCTCCTGATCTGAGTTTCACAGTCCATCACATGTATGAGTCACATGTCCAATGTCCTTGACCTCATTTTCATGGTTCAGTGACTACTTGAAAAAAAAGTTAAGATTTTTTGTAGTGTTAAATTCTCTCTTATTATGAGTAATAGGATAACTATATTTGGTATGTGCCTACCTTGCAAGGTCCTCATGCCCGTCAGACAGTTTTCACTTGATCTCGACCTCATTTCATGGATCAGTGAACAAGGTTAAGTTTTGGTGGTCAAGTCCATATCTCAGATACTATAAGCAATAGGTCTAGTATATTTGGTGTATGGAAGGACTTTAAGGTGTACATGTCCAACTGGCAGGTGTCATCTGACCTTGACCTCATTTTCATGGTTCAGTGGTTATAGTTAAGTTTTTGTGTTTTGGTCTGTTTTTCTTATACTGTATGCAATAAGGTCTACTATATTTGGTGTATGGAATGATTGTAAGGTGAACATGTCTAGCTGGCAGGTGTCATCTGACCTTGACCCCATTTTCATGGTTCAGTGGTCAAAGTTAAGTTTTTGAGTTTTGGTCTTTTTTTTTTAATACTATATGCAATAGTTCAACTATATTTGGTGTATGGAAATATTTTATGATCTATATGTCAGTCATGCAGGTTTTATTTGACCTTGATCTCATTTTCAAGGTTCATTGCTCAGTGTTAAGTTTTTGTGTTTTGGTCTGTTTTTCTTAAACTATAAGCAATAGGTCAACTATATTTGTTGTATGGAAGAATTGTTAGCTGTACATGCCTGCCTAGCATGGTTCATCTGACCTTGACCTCATTTTCATGGTTCATTGGTCAATGTTTAGTTTACTTGGTTAATGTTAAGTTTATGTGACAGTTGTAATAAAGCTATATATTTAGGACTATCAACATAATATCAATGATTAGTAAAGAAGGCGAGACATTTCAGTGTGTGCACTCTTGTTAAAATTGGGGTTATCTTCCTTTGTCCATGATTATAGTTGAATCAACTACAATCAATGCTTTATACAATGCAATGTTTAATTTTGACTTCCACTGATAAAACACAGATAAGTTGAATTTGGGTAGTGTCACTTTAACCATTATTGCGTTATGCCCCTTTATAAATCGAAAGATTGCAAAATTTTTAGTTTCCATTCTGTAACTTAAGTTTTCCCCAACCAAACATTATGAAACCTGTACACAATATTCATTACCACAAAACTAAGATCAAGTACAAATTTTTTGTTTCCATTTTCTAAGTTTAGTTTGCCTCAATCAAATGTTATGAAATGTATACACAATGCTGATTACTACATAATACAGATTAAGTACAAAATTTGGTGAGAACACTTTTACCATTCTTGAGTTATATCCCTTTATAAACATAAAAATTGCTGAATTTTTCATTTCCGTTCTCTAACTTTAGTTTGTCTCAACCAAATGTTATAAAACTTATACACAACTGTTCTAGAGTTATGCGTGTTTACAAATAAAAAAATTGCTGAATTTTTAGCTCACCTTTCCAACGGAACTTGGCGTCCGTCGTCGTCTGTCATCGTCCGTCGTCGTCGTCCGTCTGATGTAAACTATTTCAAACATCTTCTCCTCTGCAACTACTGAACCAATTCCAACCAAACTTAAGCTGAATGATCCTTGCGGTATCTAGAATAAATTTTGTGTTTAATTATCTGTTTCGTCAAAAAAACATGGCCACCATGGCTAAAAATAGAACATAGGGGTAAAATGCAGTTTTTGGCTTAAATCTCAAAAACCAAGCAGTTAGAGCAAATCTGACATGGAGTTATAGTGTTCATAAGGTAAAGTGCTATCAGCCCTGAAATTTTCAGATGATTCTAATAACCCATTGTTGGGTTGCTGCCACTAAATTGGTAATTTTAAGGAAATTTTGCAGTTTTTGGTTATTATCTTGAATAGTATTAATGATAAAGATAAACTGTAAACAGCAAATATGTTCAGCAAAGTAAGATCTACAAATAAGTTTATATGACTAAAATTGTCAATTGACCCCTTAAAGAGTTATTGCCCTTTAAGGACAATTTTACACAATTTGTTTATCATGTTTTCTAACTTAAAAAATCCTCTCTTCTGTAACCACTGAACCAATTCCAACCAAACTTAAGCTGAATGGTCCTTAGGGTATGTAAAATAAAGTTTGTGTTTTATTTTCTGTTTCGTCAAAAAACATGGCCACCATGGCTAAAAATAGAACATAGGGATAAAATGCAGTTTTTGGCTTATATCTAAAAAACCAAAGGAGTTAGAACAAATCTGACATGGGGTTAAAGTGTTCATTAGGTGAAGTTCTATCAGCCCTGACATTTTCTGACAAAACTTATAACCCATTGTTGGGTTGCTGCCACTAAATTGGTAATTTTAAGTAAATTTTGCAGTTTTTGGTTATTATCTTGAATAATATTAATGATAAAGATAAACTGTAAACAGCAAATATGTTCAGCAAAGTAAGATCTACAAATAAGTTAATATGACCAAAATTGTCAAATGTGTCCTTAAGGAGTTATTGCCCTTTAAAGACAATTTTTCACAATTTGTTCATCTAGTTTGCTTACTTTAAAAAAAAAATTTCTCCTCTGAAACTGATGAATCAATTTCAGCCAAACTTAGGCTGAATGAGTTTCATAGTATCTAGTATAAATTTTGTATTTTATTTTCTTGTACTTCAAGAAACATAGCCAGTATGGCTAAAATGGAACATAGGGATAAAATGTATTTCTTTGCTTATGAAGAAAATATGACAGATACAAGGAACATCTCAATTGAGTTTCGAAGCCACTCATTAATATATATTAAAAAACAAAAATAATCATTGATGAAAGATTTAAGCAAAAAATTACAGGTGAGCGATTTAGGCTCTTGAGAGCCTCTTGTTAGTTACTGTTCTCTACTTAAGTTAGCCTCAACCAAATGTTATGAGACTTACACACAATGCTTATTACCACAAAACTCAGATCAAGTTCAAATTTGGGTAGCATCACTTGTACCGTTCTTCAGTTATGTACCTTTATAACTATATGCTATGCAAGCGGGGGCATCATCTGTGTCCACATGTGGACACTATCCACATTTATTTTATATATAAATTCGATGTTCTGGCGTTAACTGTTAAATTAACAGTGCACCATTCAAAGTGTGCAACATCAGCGTACTAATATCTGCCTTGGACTCTTTATTTGTGCAAAATTACGCTGTCAATAACTTCACTTTCGTTTTTAAGAAGTACATTTTCCTAATACCGGATGTTGACTTGACAACACGGACCAGAGACGGATATGTAGAATCCATGTACGTTTACAAAGCACAATTGAGTTTAAGTAGCTCTTTCCACGTTATTTCTTCAGGAAAATACTTGAAATGAACGTTAGATAAAGGTATCAATGATATTTTTAGCATTTTTGAAAATTTGGATGCATAACTCAGAGCTCCAGATAAGAATTCACAAATTGGGGTTTTTACCCACCATTTTTTTATGTAAATGGGTGATAAAGTTTTTTAATTGCATTATCAATTCCAATTCACCCCTCAAGCAAATATCAAATTGGGTTTTTCACCACCAAGCTCCTTAATGTATTGGGTTTTTTCATCAACACAATATTGAATATTTAGGCATGTTATAATCACATTATATCAACCCCAGATGTAGTCCAAATAATTATGACGTCTTCCAAGGCTATTTTAATTTTTTTCTGGGACGCCTTCCCAGAAAAAAATTAAAATAGCCTTGCAAGACGTCATAATTATTTGGACTACCCCAGATGTGTTTCCATCTTAAATGTGTTTCTTTCTTTGTAAAATATGTGCTAGCTGTTTTATTTGGTTTATTCACTGACGAGCAATTGTACATTTAATTTGTGTCCCGTTTTAAACGTTCTGTCAGTTTTGTATTTTCTCAAAACTTATGAAAACTGCAGCTGGTGTCACTAGTTGGACAGGAACTAATTGCCTTTCTAGATCCCATATGATCACCCTACAGTTTAATTATAGTTGGGGTAGGTGTGGCTAAGTGTTTAGATTTTTGTGTAATATGTGAAATTTAGGTGCTGTATAAGAAAGTTTTGCCAGTCCTTTCACCTATTTGCCAGATCTACTTTTTAATAAAAATAAAAAGTAGTTTCCAGATTTAAGATATACCCCAAAACCTTGAGTTTTATAGGGTGGTTTATAATGACGGAGACCACATTCAACTTAAAGTTACAAATAATTCTGCAACATCAAGTAAATAAATGACAATGTTATACTGCACTTGCCAATAAGACAACTATCTTAAGCATCTAGAACATTTAGACCAAAACAAAGAAAGTGTCAAGCTGCATTGACGTAAAAAAGGATATGTGTATCGATCACTCATCAACTAAAATGAAAAAAATAATATATAAACTGTTTTCGTTTAATTCAATTTACATAAATCTGGGTTAAGTTGTCCCTTATCAGAACTTTTGGTTTCCGATGCTTTCAAACTACATATCATGTCATAATTGATTTGGCCTTTCACTTTTTCCAACTGATTTCGTTTTTGACGGAACCCCGTGTATATCGCTCTAGCAATGTTCTCGTTATGGTACGCAAACACGCCCGTGCGTTCAATGGCCGCTTCCTAAAATCACTAGCTGAGTCTTGTTTTAATCATAACTTTCCCTCAGCTATCAAAAAGAAGCCGAAAACATGCTTCTATTCAATATTTTTACCGGACATTTACTTTCGTTTTAATTCATTGTATGTTATGATAAATCCCGAGCAATTCGAAAAAAAATATGACAACATGTCACACGCTAATTGGATAAACGCCGAGAAGATCGAAATGTTTTCATAAACACGTGTACCTTTTGAGCAACGGAAAATTCCAACAGGGACCCATTACAGCTACTTGATGCAGGGCTCTATTTTTAGAACGAAAGGACATTTCCAATAATAAATATTATAAAAATAGATTTACGCGACGACTGTAATCAAGTAAGGGTAAATAACGCAAACGATAGCGAATAAAAGCGTTAAGAACCCATGTTTTTGGCATATAATTGGGTTTTCCTTTGACTTAATTGAGTTATTGAACCCTGCAATGGGCAATTGCATTGGGTTTTTAATTATTTTTATTGCGTGATCACGCAAATACGCAGCTTATCTGGAGCTCTGATAACTAAATCTCACACATGCGCACGAGTGTACTAGTTCAAACAATGTGGTTCTGACGATTTATCCCTTAAAACCTTTATTACTACCCTTTTAAATTTATATCAAATCATATTTATATACGTTTTCTGATAATCTAAATCTTGTTGACTAAATTAATTAGATGCAAACCACTGAAATTTAAGAAAAATAACTTTTAATAGACCGATGATCAATGTCCATTACAAAATAGTTAATCTGTCTCCTGAACAGGTAAATTTCAGCTGTCAGAGAACTAATTAACCTTGATTGTAATGAGAGGGTATTAAAGTAGGGTTTGTTTTGATAGTAATTATTTATCATGTCACTTATATGACTCGAAATGTGTGGCTGTTTAAGGCAAAAGGTCAGGTCAAAAAGATCGCATAAACTTCAATTTTTTTTTCTGAACTATGTTAAATAAAAAGTCCGTTTCAGCCTTGGCACAATAAGTCATATATATGATTTACCGGACAATAAGATTGTTTTGGAATCCCTGGTTGGGAGTAAAAAACTCAGTCTTGTCAGGATCTGTTAATGCTAAGGTTTGTAGACCCATGTCAGTGTTGGGAGTATTGAACACAGTCCTGTCAAGATCTGTTAGTGCTAAGGTTTGTAGACCAAATTCAGTGTTGGGAGTAATGAATACAGTCCTGTCATGATCTGTTAGTGCTAAGGTTTGTAGACCCATGTCAGTGTTGGGAGTAATGAATACAGTCCTGTCGGGATCTGTTAGTGCTAAGGTTTGTAGACCCATGTCAGTGTTGGGAGAAATGAATGCAGTCCTGTCGGGATCTGTTAGGGCTAAGGTTTGTAGACCCATGTCAGTGTTGGGAGTAATGAACACAGTCCTGTCGGGATCTGTTAGTGCTCAGGTTTGTAGACCCATGTCAGTGTTGGGAGTAATGAACGCAGTCCTGTCAGGATCTGTTAGTGCTAAGGTTTGTAGACTCATGTCAGTGTTGGGAGTAATGAACACAGTCCTGTCGGGATCTGTTAGTGCTAAGGTTTGTAGACCCATGTCAGTGTTGGAAGTACTGAATGTAGTCCTGTCAGGATCTGTTAGTGCTAAGGTTTGTAGACCCATGTCAGTGTTGGGAGTAATGAACACAGTCCTGTCATGATCTGTTAGTGCTAAAGTTTGAAGACCCATGTCAGTGTTGGGAGTAATGAACACAGTCCTGTCGGGATCTGTTAGTGCTAAGGTTTGTAGACCCATGTCAGTGTTGGGAGTACTGAATGCAGTCCTGTCAGGATCTGTTAGTGCTAAGGTTTGTAGACCCATGTCAGTGTTGGGAGTAATGAACGCAGTCCTGTCAGGATCTGTTAGTGCTAAGGTTTGAAGACCCATGTCAGTGTTGGGAGTAATGAACGCAGTCCTGTCAGGATCTGTTAGTGCTAAGGTTTGTAGACCCATGTTAGTGTTGGGAGTAATTAACTCTGTCTTGTCAGGATCTGTTAGTGCTAAGGTTTGTAGACCACAACTAATGCAGTATGTATTTTCAGTTTTATATGAATTGGCCCTATAATGTATAGGTCTTTCATGTTGTGTAATTAAATCATGTTTGAGCTATTGTCATTGAAGCCATTGTTCTAATTCTTTCCAAAGGCTCTGTCCTCCCCAAACAGGATGTAGCCAGGTTGGCTACGAAATCTACACACACTGAAATATAGTTCCCATTTCTTCTCATGTCTCTGTAAATATGCACAAATGAACAGTGAATAATTTAAGTGATATCTTTAGAGGTGTTTATTTAAGTAAGTGTGTCATTAGTTTGTGTAAATTTTCTGGTCATTTTTTTAATTAAATAGAAGTACTGATACAATACAAAAATAATTGGAAAATGTCATGATATAAGAAAATTAATGTATTATGCATACAATAAGTCAATATATTTTTTTCTCAGCTTGTGTACCCTTGTCTTTAATTTTGGCAGGGGTTGACAAAACTCACTAGCCAAGGGCATTGTTAATGCTAATGTTTCACTAGCTGACAAGTATAAGAGCATACTTTTTACATTTTTATGTTTTTACTAGTCAGAGTTCCATGATGCATCATGAATGCTTATTTTTAACAAGACTGATGACACATTTTGACAGTAATTTTTAAAGAACAATTCACAGGGACCCAGTCAGTGTATTAACAATTGATCAATGCCAATACCCCAATGGATGCAATAAGATTTGTTACAAAAAAGTTATTAATCAGGCCTTGGAATACTATCTCACCCCACAATTTCTTGTAGGATATTTATGAAAAAGTTTCAACAAACCTAAAATCATTGTCCTTAGAAGATAAATATGTGCATTTCTTTTTTTTCAGGAACGATTTCATTTAAGAGTTGGTTATGTGAAGTTTGTGGAGGCTTTAAAAAGTCTTGGTCAGCCTTCCATAGATCTATTGAAAGCAGTATTAAATTTAGTGAGTAACATGCAGTATGCCAGAGGTCTAAAATAATAATTTATCTCCTGACATTTACAGATTTATGTTGTGAATATTCACTAGCATGGAAACATGTATTTTGTAATCACTAGCCAAATAATAAGTAACAGTTATGGAACAATCAAGTCAGTATATGTTAACTTTACTGCACAGCTTGTTTGACATTACTTGATTCTAATGATGTCAGGAGATCTTGTCAACAGATCAAGGAGCAGTCTAATTAACATATAACCACTTGATTGATCAACAACTGTTTAAACACATTACATCTTGTGGTTGATTGTTGATTGTGTCATTGATGATGTATAGATTATAACATGCCCTTTTCCATATTGGCCCTGAAATCATCCCGAGACTCCCATATCGGCCTCGAGGCTATATCCGAGGGATGATACCAGGGGCAATATGGAAAAGACATGTTATAATCTATTTATCACATATTTAAGTTCTGCAGAAAAGATAAAAAAGTTCAATTATAACAATTTAATGAAATATAACAGGTAAAATCTTAAAAATTTTATCACAAAAGGTCTATCACATTTTCAAATTTAGTTTTTTTATCATTTACTCCATAGAAATTTATTGTCACATTTCCACTTATTTTGGAATATGGCAATACACAAACGCGAGAATTTGGCATAATTGGGGCTAAATCTATAACTGTTGGTTGTGCATTGTTACTAGTTGCCATCGTAGCAGAATTCTCCTCATAACTTTCAATACAAGCAACCATTGCATCGACATCTACATTTGTTAAATCATCATCTGTTAATTGTTCAATATTGTGAGTGGATGTACTTGGCTGATTAGAGATATTTTCATGTTTATTAGTTATAGATCCTCGGTTACCAGAAGAGATGTCACTCAAAATGTTTGACATTTTTTCTTGCTGCTCTAGAGAAGCAGAGCTATATTGGTTTATAGATTGAACATTATGGTGTCCAGTCAACTACATTATCTGGGTAGCTTCAACGTTAGAATGTAATAATGAAGTAACTGTTGTTTTTCTGGCACTGTGGTTAACTTTACGGACTGTGAGACCTGCTTTCAGAGACATAGTTTTTGCCAAGTCACCAAGCTTGTTTTTCCCCAGTGGTTGTTTACTGAACCACAATGCTCTAATAGATGGGAGAGTGCTGTCAGGGGTAATATTGTGGAGTGTTGACAGATACATCCTACTGCCTGGTGTCAAAGTATCAACAGGCAGTCTTTTCTTGAACTCTTTAAATGCATTTACAGGACATCTTGGGTCACCTACAAAGAAGACCAATGATTAACCATACAAAATAAAAGAAGAAACTTCTTTTTTCAAAACATATAACATTTTTTTTTCAAATATTCTTAAATGTAAATTGCAGAGAATATATGTTTTGTTATGTATTAAGAATACGATTTCGGCTTTTTTTGTGTTCTGTTCCGATTGCTGCAAAGTAGTTTTATTGTAAGTTAATATGAATTGATATTACAAATAAATGTTTTTGTAAGATTAAAATATCATGATGTAATTCTATACGGTATTTACCTGGGTTTTCAAACATTTTAGGTGCAAACGACCTTGTATTTCCAGACTCCCCTTGTCTTGTTTTTGTCATTCTTTTAGAATATTCAAGATAGTGCTTTCCTTCAGATGTTGCTTTCATGGTTACATCACCAAATAACATATCTGTATGCTCTTGCTTCTCATTCCAAAATGGAGACAGTTATTTAACCATACTGTGTTTGTTAAGGCTTCAGGGTTACCTAAAATAACATACATTGAATATGAGGGTAGAATCTGTTTTAGCGGACTCCGGAAGTTGGAAGATGCACAGTTTATGCGCATGACCGATAACCCCAATTTACGTTGCTATGCTAGAATATAAACAGCGGCCATTGTTGTTACCACTTCAAAAGACGAAGATGCAAATGATTTTTAAAGATTGCTTTTAACTAGTGTAACTGAACAATTTTAAATAAATCTAAAGCACTTACCCATTTAAGCTTGAAAATCATCCAGACTAGAATTTAATGTGTTTGTTATTTCGTGTAGTACTCAGTTACAGGTTGCAGTTCACTGATGGTGATAATTTCTGTCGTAATCAATGTTTGTTTTTGTTTTTCTGGATTAGACACTTTTTTTATGAGGGTTATAAATGCTATGAAAGTGTCTTCAGAGCCGATTATATATTTCTTTCGTACACAATATTGACTGAAATAAGTATCATAAAGTGATTTTACCGTGCCGTATTTTGGTAGTGATTTTTTAAGTGCACGCCAAGTACTTTCAATGGTGTTTGTATGCGCTCCTGTTTCTGGGTGTACAAAATTCACGGAATGATTGACTTTCAAATGCTCAAATCCCTCTGAATCTAGACAATCATATGCTTTCCAACAGTCACTAATTATTGTTGTTCCTGGTTTTATATTGTCTTTTATTAATTTTGGTAATGTTTCTTTTGTTCGATTTTCCACTGTGGCAAAAAAACTTTTTTTGCTGTCTCTTTCAATACCTCCAAACACCCACTGACCTTCTACTTGATGCCCTTTGTGGTATTTTCTTTTCCCAAATTTACTTTCATCTATTTCAATAATTATGCTATCTCCTCCTATTTTTTCACTGTCTATTTTCAAAATTTCTATACAGACTTCACGGCAATAATTGTACTAATCTGTGATTGTTTGGTTACAAATGGAAAGTTCATGCTTTACAAATTCTTGGTCTATTTTGTAAATCCAGAAATACGTAATGAATAATATTTTTTCCAAACTTAGATTATGTACTTGAAACCAGGATCCGTTTCTGATAGAAACTTTTTTACTGCATTTTTTGTTACTGCACTTCCAATAAAAAATGTCGTTTGAAAAAGAACTGTCTTTTTCTTAATCCAAAATGTCCATGGCTACACTTTTTACATACCTCTCCAGTTAAATCTAGAATTAATCCTATAGAAATACACCACTGAATAATTTTCTCAATGCTTTCACAAATAATAAACAAATTTTTTAACTTGATCGGCATTTCCGTATTTACATTGTAAATTTTGTAAACAAAAACACAGCTGATTTTACGTTACGGTTGACAATGACGTAACTTATTTCATGAATATTCATGACGTAGAGGTCACCGATAATGGAATTTTTATCACGTGATATACCTACCTGAGTAACGGAAGCATGGACATTTTGTACACTTACCAAAACGTCTTTCTGTTAGATATTGTAATTCTAATTTAAAAAACTGTTTAAAACAACAGTTTTTTAAACAAAACTTCACCTGGGGAATTCGATTTTGACCTTATTTTTTTTATTTTTGGGCTATTTTCGTTTTTAACTTTTTGGCGCGACCAATCCCTATATACTATTATTTACTATAGTTTCCCGTACTTTTTATGGGGTCCGCTAAAGTAGAAGTACTCCGAATATGAAATTATGCGAAATTACATGTATATATATATATATTATATATGAGTAATTTATATTCAAGTTTACTTACATTATACAAATACAACTACTTTTTTTTCTTTTATTCAAAGAAATTCTATTAATTGAGAGGAGATTCTCTGGAAATCACTTTTTAATTTATAATAAAAAAAATTAGGCATAATATTAAAAATACAACTATAGTTATTGTATAACTGAAACTTTTGACGGACTTTAATTACTATCCCATTATAAAATGGGAACTGCGTTTTAACTATAAAATAAATCTTAAATACTTTATTAATACTTGATTATTAAAACTTACTTATTCCTAGCAGAGTAGTGTTGAACAAGGAATCAATTTCATCAGAAGTGAAGGGGTCTGCACGTCTTTTTTTGTTTCCAAGTCTTTTCCCTTTCAATGCTTTGCGCTTCACTCCTAGAACATTCCGAGAGTGAGCAAATTCCTTGTCCTTTATAATACTGATGTTGCTTTTTTCATTCAGATATCTATTTATGGATGATTGAATGCACTTTAGCGAATCTGGCTCATATTCTTTCTTATCTTTTGTACGTACGGCTATGTAGAATCTTGCCAGATACATATTCATCGCTTCAACTGGAATATTCTCTGGATTGCGTAATTCTCTGGCACTTTTTAATCACTCCTTTAGAATTTTAATGTCACTTTCAGTTTTTTTTTTGTGTTAGTTTTTCATTTGCTCTATAAAGTCTGCCGTATCGCTTTCCTCCACTGCATGAAACGAGCACCGTCATTGTTCTCCATTGTCGTTAAGGACGCAATGACGTCACGTCATTTGGAATCAGGGCACAATAACCAATAACCTCTTTTTTGCCCCGGGCAATTTCGAGGTTATTACATAAGCAAAACCCAACGTATTCGTAACAAATATGTGATAAGGTAAGTTATTTCATTTAGAAGATACTTAATATACTGTGAAAGTACTTTCATTCTTGTGTATCAATTTTCATGGTTTGAGCAAAAGTTAAATGATCGTGGGTTCTTAAATTCGTGGATTTTTTGTTTTCTGAAAAAAATTAAGTGTAAAATTTGAAGCCATCCAAAACGAAGATTCTTGAAAATAATCATTTGCTGCTTTATAATGATTTGTGGGATATTGTAAAGTAAGGTGTTAATTTTCACTACTTGTTTGTCTTTCATTTTGACAACATTCATTTAATTTTTCCAAAATGATTGCCTTAAGAAATAAGCTGATTCATCTATGCTAACAAATTGTCTCGTTTGAAAGAAATTTCAAAGTAAACATTTTAATTGTTCCACACATGTAATTAGAAGTCATGACACTAATTAACCTGAGATCTAATGATCAACAGATTGACTATCATCAAAGGTGTTAATTAGGCCATAAACATGTCACTTGAAGAAAAAGGTTACCTAGAAAATGCTATAAATGTACTTGAATTGTAGAATTAATTCTTATGAAATAAAAAGCAAACCAAATATGAAATTTTTTTTCGTATGAGAATTATGAGGAGATAAAATGAACACTTCATCATCGCATATCATCACTGGAAGTCTGACTGTCATCGATCAAACTAATTTTTCATGAGAATTAAAAGGTACAGTTTAGGTTTTTGTATATATATATAGTTCATAGTGCGTTTGCTGATATACGATGTATTCTCTAGATAATATGTCCCTATCCATGTAGTCAAACCAACATGGGGATCTTTCCATGTTTTGATTTGGACAACATTTGTTATATTTCGTTGGACACTTAAATTCGTGGATAAAGCCATCCACGAAAACCACAAAATTGGTACCCCATGAATAAAAGTACTTTCACAGTATTAAAGATTTTTTTAAACATCTCTGTTTTTGCTTTTGAGACTGTTGTATTCCTGAAGCTTTGGTTATTATCTTGATGTCAAGTTTGTAAGTTAGAGAAAAAAAATAGACCTTAGAAACAAAACATTAATTAAGATGTTTGTTGTTTGAATAGGTTGTAGAGACAGAATTTGATGGTACAAAACATCTGGTTGTCCATAATACACAGGCTGCTATTATGTTACTACACTGGTTACCAGATATACAGTCACATGACTTACAGATGTGGTTGTCAGAGTCTTTAGGTACTCTATGTGCAAAAACCTACAACAAAATGAATTGCTGCAGGGATGGAATGATAAGTGCTATACAACAGGTCCTAGAGAGGTCAAAACAGATTAATACCAAGGCTGTTGGTAGGTGAAGTAGTTGATTGTTAGGTAGGTTAAAACAGGGTAGGTAAAGAGATGGAATGATGTATGTTATGTTATTTGATACGATACCATACGATACTCCAGGGCTTGTATTTCCTATCATGATTTCCTTGATAGAGGGTTGCTACTCACAAGGAAGCTATTAAACCAAGAGTTCCAAGTGGTGAAGTTGAATTCATCCCTTCGTAAATTTTATGGACGCCATCACGAGTTGGTTGACCGTTATGGAATATCCGTTTCACAGATGATAGCAGATATGTTCCTAATGGTGTAACTAAAATCCTGTCTCCTTTTCCGGAATGTGACCTACCAAGTTAGACTTATTACCAGGTTTGTACTAACACGAGCAACACGACAGGTGCCATATGTGGAGCAGGATCTGCTTACCCATCCGGAGCACCTGAGATCACCCCCAGTTTTTGGTGGGGTTAATGTTGCTCAGTCTTTAGTTTTCTATGTTGTGTTTTGTGTACTTTTGTTTGTCTGTTGGTCTTTTTCTTTTTTTAGCCATAGCGTTGTCAGTTTATTTTCGACTTTTGAGTTTGATTGTCCCTTTGGTATCTTTTGCCTCTCTTTTATAGGTAGTCCAAACTCATTCAATACCTTCCATCTGAATTCTAAGTGTCAAAAATGTATAATATTTATTATTACCAAAAGGACCTCAAAAGAAAAGCCAAAGCACTATAAAGTTACTTCAAGTAAAGGGAAAGAGTGGCAATGATTGGTGCTATGTAAAAAGGCTGTAGATATGATATTGAACAAACCTATGAATCCTAGTTTTACCCCACAGTTTAAACTTTCAGATGGTACCATGTTTTAACACCTTTATCCATATATTTGTGCCAGATTAGACCCTTAGTACTTTAAATTCTTTTGATAAACTTACGGAAAGTGTGGAAAAGTTCAGAAAAAGTAGTTATCATAAAAGTATATCAATTATTAAGGACTAGGCTTCATTATAAAGTTGTAGCATCTTGGCTTACAAGAATGAATTTATATATTTGTAGGTTATTTGATAGGTTTATTAGAATGTTTGGGTACCAAGTCAATTACAGCAACAGAACTCAAGAAACTGATTAGCCTTCTAAGACTTGACGAAGAAGAAAACCAGGTATTGCAAATTTATATATGAACATGTTTTATATTCATGGAAAAACAAATGTGTCTTAAGGGGAGTTGATAGAGATAGTGAACATTTAATGTCGTGTGTTTACTAGTTTTGTTTATGACATCAAAGGATTCTTATCACAGGATTTCATATCTGAAAAAAATATATGAATGTGCAAAATCACCCATTGAATTTGATAAGAAAGAAATATTTTGTCATTTTTAAAACTACTAAATAAAAATATTAAACTTAATAAATTTAATATCGAAATTTAATTAAGGTTTGAAATGAAACTGTACTGCTGAGATGTAATCAAACTTTTATCGTATGCACATTTATCATTGCTTCCAAAAGAAATAATATGACTTCATGTCTTTAACTGCAAATACCAGTTTTATAAAATCTCAAAAGTCGAAGAGAAAATTTAATAAAAATTACAAAAATTCCCAATTTTGAACTTCATTTTTCGCTAACACAAGCACATGTACTACTGGTAAATTATTCAGTCAAGGATTTTGTTAACATAAATATCCTTTACTAAATTCTTTCATAGATACAAAGATTTGGTTTGGAAGTTTGACTGTACCTTTCATTACAAACAGTATAGCACATTCTAATTCGAACAGCCTGCAAATAGGTTTAACGCTGACACATTCTGTATTTCCCAAGTCAGGATCCTGTTATTCAGTGGTTGTTGTTAGTTGCTGTATATGATATTTGTTTTTCGTTTTTTGTTTTGTACATAAATCAGGCTGTTAGTTTTCTAGTTCGAATTGTTAAACAGAAGCTTTTTTACAGTTAACATTCAGGCTCAGCCTGAGGTTAAAGTTTATCAGTCATCAATGACTTTGTCAAACCTTCATGGAATTTTATGAAATTTTGACAGAAGCTTGATAATGACCAAAATACTGTATCCAGAGCAAAATATTGAAAATCTTTATCTTCATTTTCCCGTATTTACTGATAAATGGACTAAGTGTTTTTTTTACAGTTAATAAGTAGATACAGTCTGGGGTTAAATATTGTTGCACATCAATTACTTTGTCAAACCATCATAGAATTTTACGAAACTTTAGCAGAAGCTTTTTTATGATTAAGAGATAATGTCTGAAGCAAACTTTCGAAATTTTTTTTTTTCATTTTTGTTATTTTTCTGATACATGTATATGGACTTAGTTTTTTACAGTTGGGCCATTCAAAAATGATTGTGTGTTTCTCCTAACCCTTCTGGGTCTATATTCATTCATGGCCTTGAAATTTACATACAGTGAAGGATTAAATTTTTTTGACATGATAAATTTGTAAACCTTCATGGATTGTTATGAAACTTGGACAGAAGCTAATCTTCAAGACCAAGAAATAGCATCTGAAGAAAAAGTTTGAATTTTTTTTTTAAATTCTGTATTTTACTGATAGATAGACTCACTTTTTAAATCAACATTACAATTTTACACTGACAGCAGCAATAACCAGTGTATATAAAGTGCGAATCCAGTTAGTTCATTTTCACTGTCGTATGCGAGTATGTCTATTGTAGAATAAAGGATGATGGGAAAAACTGCGTGTGTTTACATTTTGAAAATACAAAATAAATGATTTGAAAGTATTTTTTAACACAGTTTCATTAGAATATAACTTTTTAATGTAAAATAACAGGATTAAAGTCCAAAAAGTGTATTTAAAGCAGCAGAATCCCTAATATTGATTACTGAATGTGATTCATTTTAACTATAAATGCGATGAATTATCACTGCAAGTGCGATCATTTCTGATGTGGAATTTTTGGAGGAGCGATGAATTTTCATATGATAATTCGACATGTGACAACTGAAAATAGTCTTTTAATGACTTTAATATTGATGATATTTACAATTTGAAATGCAAGCTAGTCGTAGATGCTTACCTCCTACAGAAAAAAAAGTTGAGGGCCAGTTGAGGGCAATGTGGCGGACAGTTGAGGGCTAGCTGTTTTAAGCAAAATAGTTGAGGGCTAGGTGTTGAGCATCTTAGCTCAACTCAAACCTGGCCAAGCACTGTATGTTTGATAGATGTCACTCAACTGGCCCTCAACTGTAGCTGGCCATTAAGTTGAGGAAAAGTTGAGCATTTGATCTTTGGTTTTCATATAGTTGAGCAAAAGTTGAGCATTCAGACTTTGAATTTTTTGTAGTTGAGGAAAAGTTGAGCATTCAGACTTTGATTTTTTTTGTAGTTGAGGAAAAGTTGAGCAATTGATCTTTGGTTAAACTTTTCATATAGTTGAGCAAAAGTTGAGCAATTAGAAATATGAGCTGGTGATATAAATGTTATGTGCCATCTGTTTTCCATTTTATCTCTGTGTATAATGCAAGTAGACAGGAAGTACTATTATAAATGTACACAGAGTTTGAGGCCAAATTAAGGGAAGCACATGTTTTTATACATTTTTCTGTATTTTAACTTAACTATAACTCATAACATAAAGATAAATTGAAAAAAACAAACAGTATTTTATATATATTATTAATATATATATATCAAATATTCATGATTTAGGTAATTAACAGTTATTATTAGGGGCAAATTTCAAAGGGATCACACTGTCAAAATACCCTAAACAACCTCAAACATTTAAAATTTTAACTGGGCTTGAGCATGCACATGGCAAGCAAAGATGTCTTCTAGCTATCATGAATAAAATATGAATTTTACAATGGATGTAGATCAAAAAGTTACAAATAACTGTATTGACATTGAATAGTGCAGTGTATTCTTCTGATGACATGACTCTTGGATTTAGGAAGATTGATGTTTTAACACATATTTATGGAAACATCTTTTGGTAAGTACATTGGATTAGAATTTCCACCATTTTGAATAAGTGTATATGCTCTTTTAGTTCAAAATAGTGATATTTAAAGTGTCTTCTTAACTTTTTAGAGTGAAGAAAAAAAAATTTAGACAATATATTTATGCATTAATTTATATATTATCAAAATGTGTAACACAGGAGACATATTTATTTTATTATTAAGACAATTTGTTCTAGAAAGTATTACTAATAAAATAAGAATATTCTAATATAATGAATTTTGTATAAAACTAGAGATCTGGGGTATGACTGCAAATAAGACATCTATCCACAAATGACAGATAAATATATATAATTTTTTTTCTGGTTGAACAACACTTTCTGTTTTGAATATTTCAATATATATCTAAATACTTCTCCTTGCATAAAGATTAATATGGCTGCAGGATTAACTAGATTTTATTTACTAGATAATAACTTTTAAAAAGCAAGGATAAAGCTGTCATGTAGTCTGTTGTGTGTTAAGATCTTTCAGCAGTATTTTGGCTATATAAAATACACAATTTAAATTTAATTTTTCTACAATGTGTAGTCATCAGTTTGCAATGACCAGATACATGTAATGATCAACTTTTAAAGACCTGGCCCTCAACTATTGGCCACCTAGCCCTCAACTTTTAATGACCTGGCCCTCAACTATTGGCCACCTAGCCCTCAACTTTTAATGACCTGGTCCTCAACTGTTGGCCAGGTAGCCTCAACTCTAATTGCTCAACTGTTGGACACCAAGCCCTCAACTATGATATTTTCTCAACCTTGCTCAACTAATTTGCATGAAGTTGAGCATTTGATAGTTGAGGGCTACCTAATTTGCATGGCAAAAATCCATGTAGCCCTCAACTGGCCCTCAACTATTTGCTCAACTGATGGCCAGCTAGCCTTCAACTGGCCCTCAACTGTTTGTTCAACTGGCGGCCAGTTGAGCAATGCAGTTGGCCATCCTATCATTTTTTCTGTATGGGGTACTTTAATATACACGGGTATTACCAACGTATGGTTGATTCCTGACGTTGTGCGTTGTGTACCGTTCGTCGATTTTATTTTCTGTACGTTCGTTGCGTGATTTCGTTATAATTCTGCACCGTTCATTAGTAAAACATCTGCTGTTTCTATTGAAACTAGAAAACACCCGGGACATTGTGGTTCCGTGACTGAATTTAGAGTATCTAATTATATATAAGCCTTATTTTTATCCTGGATTTTTAGTACTCGTATGTCATCTGATAAAGTCATGCTGTTTATAAGATGCACGGTCTTCTCTGCTTTCAAAATCTTTCTGTTTGAACCCGTCGACCTGGAACTTATTACTTAGTTGAATTGAATTTATTGAATTCAGTACACGGATCGATAACTGTCTCCGAATTTGGATATTTGCTAAGGCAGCAACCATTAAACATTTCTAACATTTCCTATTGAAGATTAAAACAACTTAAATTTTGTATTTGTTTGACGTGAAACAGAACTTACTAGAGCAAGAGAAGCCCCCTAATCACGCCTGATTGCAATCAAGTTTCTAAGAAATCCAGTATTTTGATCTTGAGTCAAAGGTCAAGCTTACACAAAGGTCGGGTGATATGCGTCACATCGTTTTAAGGTGATACACGTTCATATCTTGCGTATTCAAATATTTGATCCGAAAATATACTGGAGTAGAACATCCATGAATATAACATATTTTTATGACGAATTTTTCTTGAAAAGGTTAAGCACTCTCTTGAAAAAGCTTTGAAAATTTGTCACGCCGTTTCATACACATTTCTACCATATTGATAGGCTTTTGCACAAGGAACAGTACAATAATTTACAGCGAACAGTACTAAAGAAAGAAAACAGTTATGCTTTATTTGTAGTTGAATCAAGTTTGAGTTACACATAATGTTTATTTCGCGATGTTTACAAGTAATTCACAGACCTGTCTATTTAAAATATTCACAGGGTGTTCATGTAATATAAATAATAAACAATGCTGTCAGGAACAAAACTTTGTTTTCATAAATATTGACTACTTAACTGAACAGTACGTCAATTAGTCTTTGGTAAAAATACTAGCATAATAGGACCCACAAAGTATGCATATATAATCAGTCCTTCTGACTTCATACATTTTGTCACAGAGTCAGCTGAATTAAGACTTTATATGATGAAAATTAATTAATTTCCTTCTCTGAAAATGCATCGCATATACAATAGAAATGAATCGCCCTACAGTGAAAATGAAAGTCAAGTATCATTATTCGACAGTAAACATGACTCGCATAACGAAAACAGCTATAGTGGAATTTAATTCAATATCAACAAACTAAGCAATAAAACCTGTTTTAAGTTATACAACATTAATAATAATGTTAAAAGGTACATTTTTCTGCAAATGTAACTTAACTGCTGCTTTTAAATCTCTTGCACGCTCTGTTCGTAAAATATTCTTAATATTTATCTATTTGTGTATCAATTTTACACCTGGATGGCTGTAGGCATGATGAAAACCCCATTCGCATCTCTGACCTATATCATGAATTTATAAAAACAGTACATATCATATATTTTTTCGTATTTATTCAAAAATCATGAATTTGTGGTCTGTTTATTTATCATTCTACATCAGAAATTCATAGCGGATACAGTGAAAATGGTATTTCAGGATTCGCACATTAAATACACTGAATCACAGCAAGACCAGGGTTCCAAGGAACCCCTTACAAATTTTTTTAATATTTACAGTAACTTATGTTTTATTTGATAATTTTTCAGAGATCTCATAAAACATATCTCAAAATCATAAAATGACAATACAATATGAAACTGTAACCACTCCCCTTCATTTAGTTATTAGTTCATATAATAGAAAGTTAAGCTCTACTGATAAACAATGGATTAAGATTGGAGAATAAGCTCAATGCAAAATCCCTTCTACGGTATGTAGGCAGGTAATAAATACAACAGAAACCAGTATTTTTATTAAAATGATTCAAAGTAAAATTGAGAATGGAAATGGGGAATGTGTCAAAGAGACAACAACCCGACCATAGAGCAGACAACAGCCGAAGGCCACCAATGGGTCTTCAATGCAGCGAGAAACTCCTGCACCCGGAGGCGTCCTTCAGCTGGCCCCTAAACAAATATGTATACTAGTTCAGTGATAATGGACGTCATACTAAACTCCAAATTATACACAGGAAACTACAAATTAAAAATGATACAAGACTAACAAAGGCCAGAGGCTCCTGACTTGGGACAAGTGCAAAAATGCGGCGGGGTTAAACATGTTTTTTGAGATCTCAACCCTCCCCCTATACCTCTAGCCAATGTAGAAAAAACAAACGCACAACAGTACGCACAGTAAAACTCAGTATAAGAGAAGTCCGAGTCCGACGTCAGAATAGGAAACAAAAGAAAATAAACAAAATGACAATAATACATAAATAACAACAGACTACTAGCAGACTGTAATTTACAAAGTTGATTAGATTATTGTTTTTTTTTTTACTTAATTAGTACTTGTAAGTAATGAGCTATTAATTATGGTGTGTAAATCCATCTCCCATATACTTATGTAGATGGTTTTTCGTCCGTTGGAATAACAAACCACAGAATGTAAAATACATATTTTTGTGTTTCCTTTTTGAAGATATATTAATGAGCGAGTACTTGAGTATCGCTCGATAAAATCAACAAGTACTCGATTAGTGATTGTTCAACGAGTTGACACCCCTACTAAATATCATTTGATTCATAACTATAAGATAGAAGCAAACAAAGAAAGTCATTTGGTAATTAATATTCTCAGAACAAAAATCCATAAATTGGTTATAGAAGAAAAATAGACAAACACCACATTGACACAACAATCAGTATTTATTCTCAAGAGAGCAAGAGATATAAGGCAAACTTACCTTCCATGCCTCTGTGTTTGATCCTTCCACACCTTTTGTCATTATCATCAGAAGGATAACAATAATATTCTGACATACTTCCTCAAGTCTTTCTCCACTGTCCTTTAAGTAAGACTGAATACCTAAGTTATCCAGTGCCTGCTGTAATTCTTCATTCTGTAGGTTGCCAGAACTTCTACATGAATCACTGATAGAACTTATTGAAGCATTCATGTCTACTGGACAGTATCGTAACTATATCCCTTCTTAATAATTCTGTTTAAAGGTTTTGTTAGCTTTTGAGGTGAATACTGACATTTTTGTGCTTTGTAAAGAATATTACCATAAAAGATTGGATGTGAAATACCCGAACGTATAAGATTTCTGCATGTTGAGTTATATTTACGAATGATGTCCTTAAACCAATGATAAAATTTAGTAAATGTTTTGACTAGTTTATGATATCGAAAACCCTGGTGTAATAATTTTTCAGTAATACATAAATTTCTCTCGCTAAAATCTAATACGTTGTTACATACATGATCGAATCGTACAAGTTGAGATATATAAACACTATAAGATGGTGACAGGGGAACGTCACCATCTAAAAATGGATAATTAACGATAGGAAATGAAAAATCATCTCTTTTATCATAAATTTTTGTATTAAGCTTCCCGTTAATGATATTGATATCAAGATCGAGGAAAGGACAGTGGTCATTGTTAGTATAGCTTTATTTAAAGTAAGTTCAACAGGATAAATTTCTTTAGTATACATACTGAAGTCGTCATTATTGAGAGCCAATATATCATCCAAATATCTAAAAGTATTGTTAAATTATTGTATCAGATGTTGTTTCAATGGGTCTTTGCTGATTTTAGTCATAAATTGTAACTCATAACAATACAAGAACAGGTCTGCAATAAGTGGTGCACAATTAGTCCCCATTGGAATTCCGATAACTTGACGATATACGGAATCTTCAAAGCGAACAAAAATGTTATCAAGTAAAAATTCAAGGGCAGATATAGTATCAAAGCATGTCCAATTGACATAGTTCTTTTGTTTGTTGCTACTAAAAAATGACCTAAAAGAGTTTGAACATATGTATTCGCATTCCCACTTTTTAAATGCCCATTTAATTAGGTGTGTGAATTTTTCTTAATAAGAATATGAGGCAAAGTGGTATATAGGGTGGAAAAGTCAAAACTTTGAACAGATTCAAAATCACCAATATATGCATGCAATTTATCAAGTACTTCCAACGAGTTTCTGACACTCCAAAAGTAATTAATTCCACTATTTTCACTATTTTGCATGCTTGTTAGACCAAACAAATGAAAAGGAACAGAATAAAAAGGTGCACTACAAACACAATGTTCGTCCTCTCAAAAATGATAATTTGAAAACCCATACTATAAAACAAAAGACCAGGTAATCTAAGGAAGTCATGGGAAATATGTACACTCCACTTACACCACAGAAATAAAACCTACTACTAATGTTTTATGCCTGACCTACAAAAGTAGTGAAGCATTTTAATGCCCTGCCTACATATGATTTCTAATATGTGCATCTGTTTGCTTCATTGGTCAATCCATGCCATAACTGATTAAAGTTTTGGTTTAAGGCAGAAATTGTACATGTGGTCACAACAAATTGTTTTTTTTTTATTTTACTTAGTACACATGTTTATTATGATTTCAATGTTTAAAAAGATATGCTAAATAAAGGTTTTGACTAGGATTTTGTGGGTTCACTGAACATGGAAATGGGACACATAATCTTGTTGAGAACTTGACAATGTAGTTTAGAGTGTTAAAGGAATTGTATTTTTGCTTCATATTTTTTAGAATCCCTACTGTAGCAGGCTAATGAGGGCTATGTCAACGATGGCCAGAAGAGAGGGAAATGAAGGGGCATTACATTTCTTAAGTCTACAGGAACATAATGATGTAAGTTTAAGAAGATTATTGTATCCATCACATTAATAGAAAACGCCATCATTGTGGTGATCTGTGCATTCATGAAAGATTATAAAGAGAACAATATTCTTTGACAAGCATTTATCCAGTCTAAGCGTAACAATGTGTCCATATGTACACACCAAGGTTGACTCTATACTTCACATAGTTGCCTAACCTAGTACAAGGTTTCAGCATTAATGATATAGGATGGACCAAATATAATAGTAGTATCTATTTTTAGGTCAAAGGACAAGGTCATCAAATATAATTATTGAAAAACAACTTAATAAGCTTGTGAAGGGATGCTCCAATTTGCATCAACAGCCTTAATTTTAGGTGTAATAATATTGGAAATATTTCATTTCCTTATTATCTTCTGGCCTGCAACTTAAGTTTCAAGGAATTAGACGGGTTCAAAATTGGTTGTGACATTACTCTATTAAAATTTGAATGGGTAATTAAAAGGATCGACCATTTGTAGAAAACGGAACATGTTTAAGCATATAATTAGGACAGATAACTTTTTGTTTACATAGTTGAATTTGCTAAAAATGTGTAATGTTATTTAAAATTAGATATGTTCTGTTACCTGCCTTCAGCAGTTAGACAAAATGTTCTGAAACTATTGGACTTCAGTCATTAATAAACTTCATACCCATCATTGCACAAATAAACCTGTATGAACTGCATGCACTAAATAAAAGTTCTTACATTTATGAAAACATTTAATAAGGATTTGTGGAATGCAGCAGCTTAGAATAGAAATGAATTTTACAACAAAAATTGCAATTTCCTGAGGAATCGTCCATGCTACTTTCAGGCTATGGCTACTGATGATAAAAAATTACAATATCTGATAAAGGGCATTGAAAGCATTCAATCTTGATAAATTCTAATGTCTAATCTGACTAAATTTTGGAATTTCATTTCCGTCATAACTATTTGAAATCAGTCATGACTGGCAAATATTTCTGTTTCTGGATCCTTGCTTTAGATTATGTATAACCCTGAATGTGGGTCTCATTGGGTTCTAAGCGTGACGAGGGATTGCCGATTTTTTGTAAGCGTGACACGTGAAAGTCAAATTATTGTGCCGTGAAAACGGGAAATGAAGTCTAGCGGGACACAGGAAATTACAAAAAAAATGAGAATTGCTTACGTACATAGTGTAAGCAGGATACGGGAATCTGACAAAACAATAAGCGGGATCCGGGATCAGAACCCCCCAATGAGACCCCCCTGAATGTATAGGCTTTCCTTAAATGTATAGGCTACACAGTATACAAAGAAGAGTTATATTTGAAAACAAGTATTTGAATATGTATTTCCAGCTTGTTAGTTTTTAAGATACTGCAATATTGTTGATTCTTTTTTAGTGTGTTAGTTTACCAGCTGGTATCAAGAAATGGCCAGGTGTGGCATTCTCATTCCATGCTTGGTTGTGTTTAGACACAGAAGTTGACCTTACTCCACACAACATAGCTGGTCAAACCTACAGAAGACAGCTATACAGGTATCTAATAATACAATAGACCTATCAACAGGACAGTCAATGCCAGAAATGATTTTCAAACTGTCTACCTTTCCTGTAAAGATAGATCCCAGTAATAAAGAGCAATGGTTGAGTTAGGGGGCGATTGAAACATAATTTATATGCCTGTCCCAAGTCGGTAGCCTTTAATTAGGTGGTTGTCGTTGGTTGTTGTCTAACATATTTATTATTTGTTTATTGTTCAATGGGTTTTGCTAATTAATGAAGGCTGTACTGTGACCTATAGTTGCTTACATACTGGATATTATATCTATAAAAATATATTCTATCTAATCAGTCTGAAAGCTAGTCAAAACAGGTCAGTAAATCAGAAATATCTCTTCTGGTTATAGAAAAAGATAAAGGTGCAAAGGTTATTATTTGGTCTCAAAGATTACAACAAATAAAAATCCCTCTCTTTTACAATTTATGTATAAGTTCAAATGTTATTTTGACTGTAGACAAATTCATGATCTTAATCATTTTGATACTTATGATTTTATATTTTGATTATTAAAAGATCCTGAAATATTTATTGTGACAGACAAAGTGCACCATCTTGAAATATCTTTTAAAAAGTTTGAAATTTTCCTCCAGCTTTATAGCCAGTGCAGGATGTGGATTGGAAAGTTTTGTAACTGCAGAGTTTGACATTGTGATATCTGTATTCAACAAAAAGGAGCATTCCTCTGTTCTTGTGGAAAATACAACCATTGGAGATGGACATTGGGTATGTTTGTTCTTGATTGTATAAGGAATACTTTAGTACAAGTATATCATGTCTTTGAATGTTTTTTTTTAGATCTTAAATTAGCAAACAGTAAGTTTTCAAATACTGTAAATTCAGAAATTATTGCGAGGTTTTTATTAATGCCAATAACGCGACTACTGAGTATCGCAATAATAAGAATTCCCATTCTGATATCAAATACATATATCTGTACGTAGCTTTTCCAAAATTCGCAATAGTTAAACTCACATTTTTGTTAATTTTTCAAAAATCGCAATAATAAATGCACGCAATAATTTCTGAATTTACAGTAAGCATATTGTTTATAGTGATACTTGTTGGATAGTATGTAATGTAGTTTGAATAAATAACGAACATCCTTGCATTCAACAAGTTTTATCATGAAAATCATCTGGAAAGCAAGCAAAATGGATTAAAGCAATGATAAATTCCTATATTTTCGTCTAAAAACTTTTTATCTAGAAAAAATGCAACAAATAATTGAGCAACTATTTTAGCATCATTTTAGGATAAGATTTAAGAAAAATTTCACCACAAATTAAAGATACTATACAATGCCCTCGTCTTCTTTTACCTGAAAATTCTGATTAACAATGTTATTTTGGCTGTAAAGAAGAGATACACAGTTAAAATCTCCCTACATAGAGCTGTCATCTTTGATATGTTGCTTGTTTTAATAGTCCATATCAATTAGATAAAAAGAGATGCATTGTGCATGTTAATGAGACATTTCTAAAATGACACAAAAAAAACTCACCTAGCGTTAAACATGCAGCTTTCAACATTAGACATGTGTACATTATGTCAGGCTATAAATCTACCCCGCATCTAGGAAATTATGAATAAACTTAACAGGAGAAAGTGAAAGATAATTTCTTCAACAAATTTAATGGGAGTTATAGGACATGCACATTAATGCACATTATGGCATATGGCTGCACGAGAACACTAAGCTTTTTGAGACATTTGTATGAAGCCTTGTGAGATTGTTTGGCATCATGTTAACTAACTATACAGCCATTTTGATTTTACAGTTTTTGCTAGAGGAATGACAGGCAAAAATAATGAATGAAAGTGTACTTAGTATGTATAATTTGTCTGTTTTAGCATTGTATAGACATTGTTCAAAGTAGTTCAAGACGACCATTTACAGTCAGTCAACTGAATGTTTACTTTGATGGAAAATTAGTACAGAATTCACAGCTTAAGTTTCCTAGCATGACAGATGTATGTACAAGTAAACAGAATATAATAAATGTATAAGTAAATAGAATATAATTAATGTACATGTGTCACGTAAACAGAAAATCATAAATGTTCAAGTAAACAGAATATACTTAATGTACAATAAAACAGGAGTTGATTAATGTACAATTAAACAGGAGTTGATTAATGTACAAGTTTACATTAGATAATTAGTGTACAAGTTTACATTAGATAATTAGTGTTCAAGTATTAAAACAAGTAAATATGAGATAGTTAATGTACAAGTAAACTAGGTAAACTAATATATACTATTTTTAATCTTATTCTTGGTATAATTGTATTTTTTAGTCCCCTACCGACGAAGTGGAAGGGGACTTTAGGTTTGCACTCTGTCTGTCTGTCTGTCTGTCTGTCCGTCTGTCAGTCCGGCAAATCAGTTTTCCAGACTTTTTTTCTTCGTGCTTGAAGATATTGACTTGATATTTGGTTTATTGTTTTATCACGACAAGTTACAGGTCAAGTTCAATTTTCACGATTTTAGCTTTTCTCTTTGTTCAGTTAAAGCCCTTTCCCTAGAATTAAATGTTTGATGAACTTAATCAAATTTTAAAGTAAATTTGGATTTTATTAGATAAATACTTACCATCACAAATTCTGAGTGTACCCCAACTGCGTCATTAGGTCAGATGGAATATCCCGGACTAAAAATAAACGTACTATCACTGGTCCGGACATATACCCCTGTGTACCCATATTCTCCCATTCAATTTCCTCAAGACGGAAATGTAAGGAAAGGGGATGAAGGGGAGGCGGGTGGGACCTATAATTTATGATGGTAAGTCTAATCCACCTCCCCTTCATCCCCTTTCCTCAAGACAGAAATGTAAGGAAAGGGGATGAAGGGGAGGCGGGTGGGACCTATAATTTATGATGGTAAGTCTAATCTAATAAAATCCAAATTTACTTTAAAATTTGATTATTTTATAGCTATAAATATGTTACCATCATAAATTCTGAGTAACAGAATCTAACGTAAAGCTGAATCCCCTGTAACAGAAGAAACAGGAGGAAAGTTCAATCTTTGTGCTGAAACTAGAGGTCCAAGAGAGTATAAACTCTCGGCAAAAGTAGCCATAGATTGGAGGTAATGAGAGATAAAAGAGTTTTCATTTCTCCAGAAACCTGCAGACAGTACCTCTTCTAAAGATGCACTGTGACCTACCGAATTAGACTACTTACCGGATTTGTAATAACATAAGCAACACGACGGGTGCCACATGTGGAGCAGGATCTGCTTACCCTTCTGGAGCACCTGAGATCACCCCCAGTTTTTGGTGGGGTTAGTGTTGCTTAGTCTTTAGTTTTCTATGTTGTGTCATCTGTACTATTATTTGTCGGTTTGTCTTTTTACTTTTGGCCATGGCGTTGTCAGTTTGTTTTCGATCTATGAGTTTGACTGTCCCTCTGGTATCTTTCGTCCCTCTTTTAAACAGAGTCCAGGATGTAAAGATACCCCTAACATCATGAGCTTTAACATTAAAACTATCCAAAAGTTCTGCCTTAGAAGAACCATAAGCTAAAGATATGCATTTGCATATCCATGTAGAAATAGTTTTAACAGAAAGATCTGAGATTCCTTTTTTAATAGGAATAAAGAGTCTTGAGTTAGAAACAGAATGTAAACTCTTCGTTCTATCCAGATAAATAGAAAGGATTCTTACTGGACATAAAAGTACAGAAATAGAATCACTAAGGAGTGCAGGAATCACGACTGGTACTGCACCCTTATTTGGAATCTGATTCTTTGCCAAAAAAGCAGGATCAGTTAAAAGAGTAACAGAAGATTTATCCCTGTTAAATCGAAGGCAAGCATCAGAAACAGAGAAGGCATGGATTTAACTCCTTCTCCGTCCAGAAGCCAAAGCTATAAGAAAACAGCATTTATAGGAAAGAAACCTTAAATCTATTTTTTCTGCTGGTTCAAAAGGAGAAAGTTTTAAAAAAGATAAAACTAGTCCCGAGGTCCCACTTAGGAACTAAAGTTTTTTGTCTTGGTTTTTCAAGACTAAAACTACGAACCAAAAGAGAAATATGCTCATTGTTTCCAAAATTTGGACCACCAGAAATATGAATAGTTCTTGAAATAGCTGATCTATATCCCTTAATAGTAGAGGGACATAATCCTTTGGATTCAAAAAGAAAAACTAGAAAGTCTGCTAATTGTTGTACAGTGACTTGGAAAGGATCAATTTCCCGCTCACTACACCAATCTGAGAAGATTGACCATTTTGCATCATAGACAAGGCTAGTGGAGTCTCTGACAGACTTTGTGAGATGCTTGGTTGCTCCTTCAGAAAAACCTCTCTTTCTGAGGCTAACCCTGAGAGAAGCCAGGCGTGTGGATGAAGTTTTTCTGGATTTTGATAAAGAACCTTGCCCTTGATTTGAGACAGAAGGTCTGGTCTCAGAGGAAGAACTCGAGGACAAGCACATGATAGGCGCAGAAGGTCTGGAAACCAAGACTGTTTGGTCCATGCTGGAGCAATAACTATGATCTTGCAATTCTCCTCTGCTATTTTCTGAAGTACTTGGGAGAGAAACCTGAAAGGAGGGAAGGCGTACCCGAACATTCCTTTCCAAGATAGGCTCATTGCGTCTACCGCAAAAGATTTCGGATCTGGACCCGGAGACACAAATGTGGGAAGTTTGTGATTGAGACTGGTCGTTAACAGATCTATCTGAGGTGACCCCCAATGAAGAGTCACAGCTTTGAAAACTACTTGAAGTAGTTCCCACTCCGTGTTTACTGGAGCAAGGGATCTGGATAGAGTGTCGGCTAGAATATTGAGGTGCCCCGCAATATGTCTCACCACTAGATGAACCTGGAGTTGAAAACACAGAAGGAGAATGTCTCTGGCTATCTGATAAAGAGAAGGCGAGTGAGTTCCTCCCTGATTCTTGAGATAAGCTACAACTGTTGTGTTGTCCATGGCCAGAATGGCAGACTGATTCTTTAGAGACAGTTCGAAATGATTCAGTGCAAACAGAACTGCTTTCATTTCCAATACATTGATATGCTCTTCCAAAAGATCTGGATTCCAGACTCCTGATTGTAAGCCCCTCCAGATATGCTCCCCAACCGAGGGTGGAGGCATCTGTGAATAAAGTTAGACTGGGAACTTGAGGGGACAGAGATAGGCCCTCATTACATTTTCCCGTACTAACCACCATTGAAGATGTGAAAATAGAGGCTGAGTGATTGGAATCAATGCTTCCCATTCTTGTGAAGCTGGAACCCAGATAAAACTGAAGCGGAGGAATGTGAAGGTGTCCCAATGGAATTACATCTGCTAGAGAATTCAATAGACCCAGAAGTTGCAAGAATTGACGTGCTGTGACTGATTGAACAGTCAGGAATAAATGTATTTCTGACATAGTTTTGTAAATTTTTCCTCTGGGAGGAGAACTAGGCCTAGATTTGTTAGGAAATGTTCTCCCAGGAAAACAAAGTCTTGAGAAGGAACTATCTCTGACTTTTTCCAGGAAATTAGGAAGCCTAGGGAGAGAAAGCAATTGATGACCAAATCTGTCTGAACCCTCAATTTGATTGGGCAAAATTCCTTGAGAAGGGAATCGTCCAGGTAGGAATGAATTTGAATAGACAGGGAATGTAGGTGAGCTATAGCTGCCTGCATGATTTTGGTAAAAGCCAAAGGGGCTGTAGATAGGCCAAAAGGGAGAGCTTTGAACTGGAAAACTTTGTTGTTCCAAACGAAGCAAAGGAATTTCCTGTAAGTATGGGAAATGGGAATGTGGAAGTAAGCATCTGAAAGATCCAGAGAGGTAGTCCACATTCCTGGAAGGATTGAAGCCCTGATTGATCTGTTGGTTTCCATTTTGAGATGGGGAACAATAAGAAAGTTGTTCAGAATAGATAGGTCTATGACCGGCCTCATTCCTCACGTCTTCTTTGGAACCAGAAAAAGACGGGAATAAAATCCCAGAGACAGAGTTAAGAGCGACACCTCCTCTATTGCAGATTTCTGTAACATAGTTTCTACTTCTACTGATAGAAGTTGATACTTGACTGGGTCTTGAGTATGAGACAAACTTATCGGAACTGCAGACAGAGGAGATGGGTTCTTGAACTGAAGTGTTATCCCCCTCGAATTATTGACAGCACATAACAGTCCGAGGTAATTTTCTTCCACTGATTTAGGAAAAAACTTAACCTCCCCCCTACTGGTATTGATTTTTGAGGAATTTGTAGTAAATTTTCCCCTGGGGAAGCTGTCAATAACGTACGAGGGGGAAAGAACCTAGGTACTAGACCCAGATTTCTTGGGGCCCTTAAAACCACCAGAAGACTTACCTGAGCTTTTATCAGAGTTATGGGATTTGTTCTGAGGTTTGCTGTAGTTATTCTTCCTTTTCTTAGCAGAAGAAGGAGGACCACCAGAAGCAGAAGTACTAGTAGAGCTAGATGTAGCATTAACCGACCTCTTGCCATTGTTAACTTGTACATTAACTTTGACGGGAGGAGGGTTTTTGCTGAGTTCCTCTTGAACCCACTGTAAGGGTAAACCAAACATCTTGTCAGAAAGTGGAGATTTCAGTAAAGAATCTTTCAAAGACTCAGCAACAGAAGTTTTTTCAAGAAACTCTGCTCTTTTAGATAGGGTGCAATTAGCAATAGAACCCATTAAAAGCAACTGAGATGAACCTAGAGCTTTATCCAGTTGAAGTAAGAAAGATCGTACTTCTGCTGGAACAACCTAATCTTCGCTGTTAAGCGAATGTCCGGTTGCAGCTAGAAAATGTTCGGCTGTGCCAAGAACTTGAGAAGCACTACAAAGGAGATTCTCAGTCTTTGCCCAAACAGTTTGAGTGAGACTAAGACCATCTACTGGCTTTGTTCCCAATAAAGATGAAAAAGATTTGTCACAAATGGGAACAAGTCTACCCAGCGAAGAATCAAAGATATCAAAATCTTTGTACTTGAAGTGATCAGAAAAGGAAGA